AAAGTTTCGAAAGATTTGCCCTAGAATTAAAATACAACTTTCCGCTGTAGAAATATACTTTCCGAATAATATTATTAACTGTCCATGGCGCTAAAATTATGCCGATTTTCTTAAGTCGACGCTGATTTTCTGAGTGTAAGCTGTGTTTATTTTACGTTTGTGTTTTTCTGGATTTATTTAAAAAGTATGATTCCCACAGGCAATGTAGTCATAAAATGCTTTTCAAATTGAATTTATATTTATTTTGTTTTTGTCATAAGTATTTAAAATGTGTGCATTGGAAAATTGCAGCAAAATTAAAGAGAAAATGACAAAAGTGCTATTATTGAAATGGTCAAATCTGAACAGTTGCCACAAAGACCGCACACACATAACACCCACACACACACACACACACACAACAAACACATGAGGAACTGACTCTGTCACCTCAGGGGCGTACACATGTTTGTTTGTAGAGAGTAGGGGAGGGGCTGTGGGGTGGTGGGTTATGAAACGGAAATGACTCTTAGCAGCAGGCCCGATTTAGACCAACTGGAAGCCAAACCATTCAGCGAACTAATGCCGACCTAAGGCAAATATAATTGCGTGTGGGTGGCATCGGGGAAGAGGGGAAGTGGGCATGTTGGTAGCGGGGCAGTTAGTGGTAGCTATTTTCTGCACAATGTTACAAGACATTTGCATGCAGGCGTCATCTGGTATGGGTTCGGTTTTGGGTTTTGCGGTAAGCGTATGGCCAGAAAGACAACACCAAAGCGTTCGACAATTGTGCTGATGCCGAGTATTGGTCACTGCCATCTAGGAGATGACACCCCACCAAACCCACCATCCACCCACCGTCAACCACTTGCTACTCCTGTTGACGGCTGCTGCTGTTGCTGTTATTGCTGCTCCTCTTACTTCGCCTGCTGCATACGTGCCCAACAAAATATTGATTTAAATGAGTTTCAGTTTCGGTTTTCATTTCCTATCGCAAATTCCAACAATCAGCAAATTGTGCTGCTCAATGAACTACTTTTTCCTCGAGTGCTACTCCTCGTTAGATGTTTCCCAAGCAAAATGCATGATAAGCAAAATATTGCAACATTGATGATGAGCTCCTCCTCCTTGACTCCTCAACATGAACAATGTGGGTGGCTGCGAATGCGATATCATTTTGTGTGTGGAATGTGCGAATGGCACATGTAAAACCCAAATACCCCAGAACCCATTCCAAAAAATATGCTCATGCTGAAAATGGCCGTTTTGGCTATTATTATGAGAACTTGCGACTACTTGCCAAACTTGAAGCCGAGCGCACAGAAAAACACATCAATAATATAAACTACAATTTAAAGTTGATAGTTTTATTGTTGCTGCCACATCCCAAGGGTAGAATCTTGGACCAAACAAATGCCAAACTGTTTTTGCTTTTTGCTGTCATGGCCAAGCGTATTACACACTCCCATACACACTCCCACATACACACACTTCCACTCACACACACACATAGGAAAAGAGTTGTACATATGTCCGAATCAAGTGTAAATGGCCAGAAAACCTTTCAACTTTCTTGGTTGGGCAAAAGTCATTTGAAGTCATTTCAGAGTCGCATTCACCCGAAAAGCCGCAGACAGTCAACCAAAGCTAAGCAAACCAATGCGAAAAACCTGACCGGAAAAACTTTTCCCACAGTTTCTACCTACTGGCATGGAAAAAAATATATTTGAATATATGTAATATCTCATTTGCATATTGTTTGGCTTTTGTTCTACTACTATTTGTACTATCTGGAGCATAAGAAAGCAGCAGCAGCAGCAGCAGCAGCCTCCAAGCGCTCTTTAAAGTTTTGGCAGCAACTTTTGGCCCAAAACTGGCCACATCCCTGGATTTGGGTTTCTTTTTTTTTTTGTGGTGGTTTTTTTTTAAGGAGCTGTCTCCATTCAGCGTTTCATTTGGTAAGATTGCTACAGCTACAAAGCTCTTAAAGTAATTAGTGGCATAAATTAAATCCCCTGGCTAAATAACAATGGCCAATTGTTTCAATGACCCTTGTGCCACTTTTAATTGTTGCAATGCTGTGAAAGTTTTAGACCTAGCCATGGACCGGAGCTGCTCCGGTTGCGACTACTGTTCCAGCTTCGGCTACAGCTTCAGCTCTTCTCCCTGTCCCAGAGCCTGTTTCCATTCTGGATTAAAGCTTCGGGCCCCCAAAAGATGTGGAAAAAGGGCCGATAGAAATTTTTTCTTTCTTCATTTTTTTTTTTGTGTTTTTTTGGTGACACCACGTTGGATAGGCTTGGGTGGCGGGCGTGGTGCGTTGAAGGGGTAAAGCTGTGGTCACTAAGCACCAGCGCCCCAAATGGCGTTGCAACAAAAGCAGCCCCGGGGCATAAATAACTTTTTATACATTTCATATGTTTTTTTTTTTGTTTTTATAGTAAGGTCGCAACGGCAAAAAGTTGACACATTTTAAATTGTATACGAAATAAAATATATTTTTGCATAATTGTACGCATTTAACATATTTTAAATGTGTTTTGTTTGGTCCAACCACCTCTGGTATGTATGTGTATCTAATCTAATTATTTAGCAGTGCAAAACATTTGCAACAACATTGATTTTCAATTGATTCGAACGCCTGCCAATCGCCGTCCGTCATAAAAATAAGAAAAATACTCATCGAAAATTACACGGCCGAATAAAACAAGCTGTTGACTTGCCAAATAGCCGTGAATTATTCCCCCAGGGCGTAGGTGAGCAGGTAACGGCAATCGCTTAGTTTGCCCGGAGAAATTCGCTGAGACGACAAATGTTGGTTTGGTTGTTGTTGTTGTTGTTGTTGCTGGTGTACGTACCCCCATCCCCTGGCGACCCGGACGTCATCACATCCTGTGCTGTCTCTTTGGCCGACAATAACGAGCCGTGAATCGAGGCCAGAATCGAGTCCAGAGTGAGAGGCAGAGAGAGAGCTCGAGGATATCGTAAAGCGACACAGAATCACACATAAAATTTTACAACACAAGGATGTTTTTTATTGCATTGACGGGCTTGTCCACGTCCACGTCCACATTCACGTCCCTGGCCATCAGGTTCGCGTACCAATCGAGTCCTTAAGTAGCCAATTACTGAAAAGTTCGAATTCCTTGCAGTGGATATCAGTGTGTCGAGAAGGCATTTTCAGCTAGATGCGACGACGGGTTTGTTAGCCTTAGCTGAGGGTAAACAGCAAAACATTTTTCTATTTAATTAAAATGAATTTACCTTTTCGGTTGCCATAAGGATTGGAAGGCCAAGGCGGATGGTAGATGGTGGATGCGTCACGAGCATCGACTGATTTATGGATGGCCACCGTATAAATTGCGTTGCCGCCTCAGCCGTGGTAATTTAAATCACGAGCTGCGGTTTTAATTAAAAGGAATTTATTTTACGCTCAACTGCAGATAAATGCACACTTTCAGTGCACAGTTGAATTATACACACACACACAAATATTTACACACACACAGAAATATAAGCACACACACTTAAGATGCTACCCCTTTTAAACTAATACAATCCAAGTAGAAGGAACCCCATTTTCCTGATGTGAACCTCCCCTCCTAAAGGCAAACCATTTAGCTGGCTGTCATAATTAAGGCCTACGCATTTGTTTGCTGGCAATTTTGTTATGGCCAGCTCAGGTTGTCGTTTTATCGTCTCGTCTCGTCTCGTCGGTCGCCTAATTGTTATGAAGATGCATGGCAAGGCCAGCTTGGCCAGCGTTGGATCGGGTTTCCATATTAGCCCGCAATCAATCATGTGCACCATGCAATAATGGGGCGCTTTGTAATTATGTTTTCATATCTCAAATGCATTTCATCTATGTGCAAATACAGATCTGGCCAAGAGATTGTGTGAAAATTGATAGCTAATAAACCTTGATTAATCATCCAATTGCGCTTGAATAGTTTACGCTTTTAGTAACAAGAAAAGGAATACAAACAGCGAAAACAGGAAACCAAACACCAACCAACATCCCGAGGGCCCACTAAAAGCACGATATAAACATGGCCAACAGAGTTAAGAAGGCAGAAAACGTTGCACACCGTAAGAAACACAGAGACACACACTCTACACTCTACACACACACACTACACTCTACACACACACACACACACACACACATGTGTGTAAGCATACGGAAATTGTCGGTGATAAATCTCCCATTTACCTTTAAACTCAAAATATTGCGACCAATGGGAGCCGCAGCGTTGGCTGACTGCGTCGCTTACAGTTACATTTACAGCTACAGCTACAGCCCCTAAATCCACTAACAAATAAAGGAATAAATTGCCCATAAAAAGGATTTTGCAAATGCCGGCTGCAACTATAAGTTCCCCTTACCCTCAAGCACCACCCTCCCCACATCATGGCATGTGTTTCGTATTTACAGCTATGGTGGACTTTTGTTGTAACTCCAACTTAACTGATAGTTTTCTTTTGTACTGCCAACTAAAGTGAAATGTTATAAGCATACAATCCACTAACTTTGTCTCAATTTTGTAAGCCCTCATTGCTCATATTACTTTTACAACTTGAGTAAATGTTCTTTATTTTGTGAATATATTTACTCAATATCATTGTGTTTTATGAGATGATTTCATTTTAGAAAGCGCGCTGGGCTTTGAAATTGATTGCGCTTATCGATTAATTTGCAATCGAACAATTTAGCGCGTGTCAGTGTTGGGCTACGCAAGCAGAGCTGGCATTCTAACAGGAGACTGCTATAGCAATTATTAGATTATGGATTTTCAATAAATAACAATTACTTAATAGTTATATACACATCATAGTTTCTAGTTAGCTTAATTGTAATAAAAGTTTCTCTCCTCAATGATATGTGTGCAATTTGAGTAAAAGTGCGACCATGCTTTTCAAATATAACTATGGCGATAGCTATCGATATATTAACAAAGAGGCCAAACATATCTGCGCTATCGCGCTTCGGTCACACTGCAGCACCTACCATCATCGCATAAAAGTTTGGTCGAAAGTACAGCAAATTTACCGTTTACTGCACCAAAATAAATAAAATAAATACAATTACATTCACAACTCACGCCCACAAATGTAACAAAACGTCGCGCAAACAAATTAACCAAACACAAAGGATTGACTGGTGTTGCAGCAGCAGTCGTTGACAGTCGTTGTGTTCTGTGGCAGGAACGAAAGGAACGGAACGTGTTTGGGGCGGACTTGTTTTTTCTGGTGCCTGTGCAAAAAAGGGGACGCCGCCGCCGTTGCATCAACTAACTGTGCTTATTTTTTGGGGGCTGCAGGAGCCCACAGCCAAGCCGCACAGCTCAACCAGATTCGTTTGTCTGCTGGCCAAGTTAACCAACGGAGGCGGGGGGCGTGTGTGCTAGTGTGTGTCTACATATATATACAAGAACAAGTTGAAGCGCACTTGTGTGTGTGTGTCGGTGTTGGTGTTTTCAGTTGTGCAGGTGTGTGTGTGAGAGTTCTGTTGTGTGTGTGTGCGCGCTGTGGTCTTGATGTCTGTGCTTTTTCCCAGACGAAGACGAAGACGTGAGCAGCACACAGGTGAATTATTGTTGCAATACGCTGAAGCTGCCGCTGCCACTGCCGCTGCCGCTGCCTCTGCCTTGGCGCTGCTCTAGCCAAACAGACAACACACAATAACACTCAAAACACAAACGTTCAACAACAACAACTACAACAAAAACAACCACAGGGACGAATTGAAAAATGCTGCGTTTTCTAAGTCGTCGCAAGGTGCGCAACAACTATGCCGATAATGCGAGCAATTCACGGGTTGCAGGCGGCGGTGGAGGTGGCGTTGCCGTCATTGCAAGCAGCAGCAGCGCTGGCGGCTCCCAGATTAAGCCCCAACGCATTGTCGTAAACAAAAACAAAATCGACTGTCGCGTTATACTGCTGGACAACACTGACCTTTCCATCGAATTATCGGTGAGTCTAGAATTACAAAAAAAATCAAACAAACATTACATTCTTAGCTTATCTACACAGGGACAAGTTCTGCTCATTAAGGGGGTGAAGGGGTTGGTTTGTCTTGATTGTTGTGTTTACTTTGGGCTTTGAGTACAAACATTCCATGGATCGCGATGTCTCTGCTGTGCATGTGTGTGTGTTTGTGTGCATGTGTGTGTACGTGTGATAAACACAAAATTTATTGCTGATCGGCCAAATATTTTAAGAGACGAAAACAAAAAAAACGACAAATAAAATAAACGTGATTGGTTCAGGGCCAATGCAATAATTTGCATGCTAACTACAGTAGTCTCTGGCTGGTAACAATTGTTTTGGTTTCACACATAATTTTTATTTGGAGTAATATATTTGTCTATGAAATCTGAAAATATATTAACGTAGTTTTATTTTTAATTTAATTATCTCCATGAAAAAATAGCAATTTAGTTTTTATATGTTCATTGTTATTTTTATATGGCCACTGCTAGAATTTGGTGGGTTAACTACAGTAGTCTCTGACTAGCTAGAACTCCTTGGTTTCGGAGATAATTCCAATTTGAAAAATTTTTAAATCTGATAGATTTTTTTTTGTACACAAATTTAAAAATAAATTGAAGTTGTTTTTGTTGAAATGAATGAGCTCAATAATGAAATGATGAATTTCATTTTAATATGTTTATTATTAATTTTAAATGGCCACTATAAAGTTCAAAATTTCATTTTTATATGCACATGCATAAATAAATGAATTGAATTATTTTTTGATTGCTTTTATTTGCAGAAAAAAGCGCTGGGAAGTTTTCTCTATGAACAGGTTTTCTATGCCTTGGATATCATTGAGAAAGATTACTTTGGATTGCAGTTTATGGATGCGAACCATGTGAAGCACTGGCTAGATCCCACCAAGCCCATCAAAAAGCAAGTGAAAAGTGAGTGACAAGAAACAAACCTACATATATACGTTGTCTGTATCTGCATTTGCATTATTGTTTATAAATTGTAGTTGGACCACCGTACACCTTTCGCTTGAAGGTCAAGTTTTATTCATCGGAGCCGAATACGCTGCGTGAGGAGCTGACGCGTTATTTGTTCTTCTTGCAATTGAAGCAAGACTTGCTGGAAGGGCGACTCGACTGTCCGGATGACAAATCCGCCGAACTCTGTGCGCTGGCCTTGCAGTGTACGTGATTCTCACTCACTCAGTGTGCTGTGCTGTTTGTGCAAGAATACAAAGTTATATACATTTTTGAGCACAATGCATAGCTCGTTAAGTTGAATTGCCACCTTAGCTGTGACCTTTGACGTTGCAGAGTACGAGCTAGACGATCTCTGGGTTAATAGGTTAATGGGGTGCTTGTGCGCATTTCGTATAATAACTATGTATTCTTTACGATTGTTCAACAAATTGTAATTATTTTTGTATTGCATCCACAGCGGAGCTGGGCGACTACGATGATCAGGTGCATTCGGCTGCTACTGTCTCCGAGTTTCGTTTTGTTCCCGAACAGACAGAGGATCTGGAAATTGCCATATTGGAAGAGTATAAGACATGCCGGGGCTTAACGCCCGCCCAGGCTGAGACGGCCTTTCTCAACAAGGCCAAATGGCTGGATATGTATGGTGTGGATATGCACACGGTGCTTGGCAAAGATAGCTGCGAATATCACCTGGGCTTGACGCCCACAGGGATTCTGGTGTTCGAGCGTGACCAGAAAATTGGCCTCTTCTTCTGGCCGAAGATTAGCAAATTGGATTTCAAGAAGAAAAAACTAACACTCATCGTTATTGAGGACGATGACGAGGGACGCGAACAGGAGCACACTTTCGTCTTCCGCCTGTACAATGAGAAGGCCTGCAAGCATCTGTGGAAGTGCGCCGTCGAGCATCACACCTTCTTCCGGCTGCGAGCGCCAGTTAAGGGACCCTCGGCTCGACAAAACTTCTTCCGCATGGGCTCGCGTTTCCGTTATTCCGGCCGCACTGAATTCCAGACCACACAGCAGAGTCGCGCCCGTCGCACCGTTCAGTTTGAGCGTCGACCCTCGCAGCGATTCGCCAGTCGTCAGTCGCATTTGTTGCGTGAACGCCAAAAGGCATCCCAGGAGTCGGCAGCCTCAGCCGTGGCCAGTGTCAATGCTCGTGCGGCCGCCGCTGCTGCAGCTGCTGCCACGGCCGCTGCCACAACGCATGCTGCACCGTATGCTGCGAGCAATGAGAACAACAATGAAACATTCGATTCGCTCATTTCGGCTGATCCGTTTATCACCGTCACCCCCTCACCCTCCGTTCTGACTGTCATACAGAATTCGGCCATCATTGAACCGGATGCTGCGTGCAGTGCCTCCATTAGCTCATCGACTCAAGCAGCGGTCACTTGTCCCTCGCTGGGTCGCAATTCACTGAAGTCCAACTTTAGCAACGATGATCCGGCCTACAGCAAAATTGGCTCCATTGGCAAGGCAGCGGGTCTCTCTGTGAAGTAAGAACTCTCTCTCACTCTCTCTTTAAATGCCATTACATTTTTATTATATATATATACTTCCTTTTTTTGATCAGACTGGAGCCAGAGTACACGCCACCCTATTCACCCAATGCCACCAAGAACTTTGACGAAACGAATCCGTTTAGGAGTGCGGCGGCTTCGCATCATGGCAGCTTTGGCAAGGCCTCAATTAGCTCAGGCCAGCTCAGGTGTGTGTTGCGGAATTAGTTTTACCCTTTCATTGCTATTCTTATTGTTGTATCGCTCTTTGACTAATACGCATTGTTTGTATTTCTCATGCATTTTGTATTGTTGTATTCTCGTATTCTGTATGTATCATTGTGCAGTGTTAGGAGCGGCTTATCGGATAAAGATAGAGAGCTAGATTCATTACTTAAGTCCATTGTCAAAGATCCATCCCCATCAGTGCTTGCAAACGAAGCCATTAACGATGCTAACAGTATCAGGTAGCGTAAATAATTCAAAATCACTTTTATATCTCATATATATTAATAGCATTGTAATGCAAAACTAAATGGGCTTTTGCTTTCTTAGAGTTACTATTAACAAGACCTTTGACATGGATCACAATACAGAGACACTGAAGCGACTCTCGACGACAAACGAGAAGCCCAACAATCAAGTGAAGCTGGCCAATGTGGGCGCCACTGCGTTGCCACCGGGCAATATCAAGTGCAATATACTTAAGGGTAATAATGCTATTTATTTAATACTCATTTTGAATTGTTGCTTAACTTTATGTATTTATTTTTATCATAGCGCGCGTAGAGGAAGAACTCGGCGCTAGCGGAAACGCTAAGCTGACCAATCAAATGTTTGTGCCCGCTGCTCACTCCAGCAGCAGCAACATGCACGTCAACAACAACAATCACATTGGCAGCAACAGCAGCAGCGGCAATCATACACACAGCGATGGACCCGATTCCCTGAATGCCACCTACATATCAGTGGTGAGTTTTTCACTCCAAAATGGAAGAAACAAAACCAGTTAGCCCCATGCCTTGCACTTATTTCATGCTTTCTGTACATTTATTTTTTATTTACATTCGTTGTGTGTGCACTTTGTGTTTTGTGTGCGGTGCTTACTTGCACGCTTGCTGTTTGTGTGTGTGTGTTTGTTGTCATTGTTGTTGTTGGATGTTTGGCTTGGCTATAAACACACACAAAAAAACAGGGCGGCGATAAGTTGACGCTCAGCATACCGGAACAGAAGCCGAGCAGCGGCTGCGCCAGCGTCAACAGCAGCTCGAGCACCAGCAATAGCAATAGCAATGCTAATGCAAATACTAATGCTAATGCTAATGCTAATGGCCGTGCCAGCAGCAACTCACCCTTCAGCAATGCCACCTTTCTGTCTGGCTTCAGTGGGCCACCAACGCCGCCGTCGTCGCTGCCAGCGACAATAAACAATACGAACAACAGCAGTTTGGCAGCAACCAGTGTGACCAACATAAGCACGCCCAGCTGTTCGGCTGCTAGCGTTAATGTTACTGCCAGCAGCAGCACTGCCAATGAGCTGACCGGCACTAGTAATAGTGGCAATTTCAGCTCCGCAACGCCCTTGCTGAGCAATGCCTCGGCAGCCGAAATACTCATTAATGAAATCTTCATTAACAATATAATAAACAATAATGCCGCGGCGAACAACAGTAACAGTAACAGCAACAGCAATAGCAACAATACCAGCAGGTCAGAGGTGGCAAAAGCCAAGTCCTTGACAACGACAAATGCAACGTCAACGCCTAGCGCTGGCACATTGCTCTTCTCCACGCTCAGTGAGCAGGAGCGCTTGGAGGCGCAGAAGTCGAATCAGCAGCAATCCAATCAGAGCCAAGTTGATGGGCCGCAGAGTGAAAAGGTTTGGCCAATTTAGAGTTGAGAAACTGTCTGTCCTTTAACGCGCCTTGCAAACTAACATTTGTCTTCATTTCAATATGCACCTAATATTAACAGCTTCTATTTGAAATATATTTATATATATATATCTTTAAAACTAGATAATAATAATCAAACTCAATACTATTCGCAGAAGAACAGCAGCAATCAACAGGAGAACATTCGCATTCCATCCAATAATAGCAGCAAGGATATGGTCTCACCTTGGCTGGTCTCATCGGAAATCGTTTCAGCTCCCAAGGGACGTGAGCCGACCATAATACGCAAATCCGTTATTACAACACAGTTGTAATTATTATTGTTTAAATTGAACAATTTTTATCCGTAAGACTTAATGATCGTATTTATATATGTAAGAAGATATAGCTATGACAACCTTAGACAACATTCTTTTAAGCATTCCACGAAACAGCAACATATAAGACAATGAGAGAGCAGGTCCAATCAAAAAAAAAAAACAACAACAAAAAAAACTAAAAAACAATGTTAACTGTCCATTAAATGTGCCTTAAATTATACTTATATACATGTACGATATGTGTGCTCGTTAACGGGAAACGAGAAATGTGCTTAAAGAAACGGTGTACTTAAAACATACATAATGTATTCTATTAAATGATAAGTGTATAGACTGGATTTTTAACAAGCAAAGTGATGTCTTTCTGCTTAATATACAGCGATCTATATTATAGCTAAGAAAATGTGACAAAATATATATTTTTTAAAATTACAGTATTCCAATTAACAGACAAAACAATAACAAAAAGATCAACGAATGTCGCATATCGCTAGACTTGGAATTGAATGTCACTTAATATATACATATACATATGATTTCAATTTTAAATCTAGTGTCGGCAAACTGACAGCTAACTGATTAAATCTACTCATATATACATATTATTATATATTTGAATTGTTAAGTGCAAAGAAAGCATTTCAAATTTTTTTTGTATACAACTTTAAAGCAACAAATGCATTTCTATAAATAAATGTATTTAAACATATCCAATAAAGTAATTTGTGTGTGTGTTTACGGAAATATTTTCGGGATAGTTGGGTTCTTTCTTTCAATTAGGCAGTCCATTCCAGGAAGCCACCAGCTGCCATGTGACCTGCAATGTTCAAGTACACACCACCAACACCACCAACAGCAACAGCAGAAGCAACCAAAACAACAACAACAACAGCTCGCACACACATGTACTTGAAATTCCAAGATGTGTATTTTTGCAGCCGCCGAGGGTCGAGTTGTGGCACTGCAATTAGAAGAAGACAGCCGGCAAGCACTGTTAATGTTTGATTCCAAAAGTCGACGCCAATGTCTCCGAGCACTGGTGTGTGTGGTCATGTATGAGTTTTATATGTTCGAGAACATATTTGTTGACGTTGCCACTGTTTTTCTTGTTTTTTTCTTTTTTCATATTTGTTATTTTTAGCTGGCCAACAACAACGGCAGCGAGTACGATGAGGGGGTAGTTGTTGCATCTGCTGTTGGGCTGTGGAAAATGTACTTGTTTGGAAAAGCGAACGCGACTATTTCTAGATCTAGATAAGCATGTGTATAGAGAATGTGCACACACGCACACTCACGCACACACACACACACACACATAGACACACGTCCACACCTTTTGGCAACGCTTCTCGCAGTGGGTGTGCGTATTTGCAAAATTATCGTTATTTGCTGTAATGCTAAAAATAATTCGACTTGCAGCAATGCAAGAAAATCAAAAGGTCCAAAGTCGGTATCTAATTTAAAATGGATGCTATTTATTTATTTGTAAAACTGTAAATTTCGTATGGTTCTTTTATCTCAATTTCTCCGTTCGTCATCTGCGACACTTCCAATAAATATTAATATAAATATAATACATTTCATTGCTGTCTGATTGATTGTCATATATGGTATTGGTTTTGGCCGGGCAGCAAGAGGTTCAACTTAAAATTATTCATCATTAATCATTAATCTTTAGGCGCCACCACGGAAGCGACGCCATTTGTTTTGTTGTGTACGTGTGCATGTGCATGTGCGTGTTGTGTGTGCTTGTGTGTGTGGATTTGTTGTGCCATTGCTTAGAAGCACTTGCGGTGCACAATGCCGGGGCCGGATTCATCGTATTCCTGCTTGGAGATCCACATCTGCTGGAAGGTGGAGAGGGAGGCCAGAATGGAGCCACCGATCCAGACGGAATATTTACGCTCTGGTGGTGCAATGATCTTAATCTTGATAGTGGATGGCGCCAGGGCGGTGATTTCCTTTTGCATACGATCGGCAATACCGGGATACATGGTGGTGCCACCGGACATAACAATGTTGGCATACAGATCCTTACGGATATCCACATCGCACTTCATGATCGAGTTATACACAGTCTCGTGGATGCCGCACGATTCCATGCCCAAGAATGAAGGCTGGAAGAGGGACTCGGGGCAGCGGAAACGTTCGTTACCAATGGTAATCACCTGACCGTCGGGAAGTTCATAAGACTTCTCCAACGAGGTCGAAGCAGCAGCTGTGGCCATTTCCTGCTCAAAGTCCAGGGCAACATAGCACAACTTCTCCTTGATGTCGCGCACAATTTCACGCTCAGCGGTGGTGGTGAATGAGTAGCCACGCTCGGTCAAGATCTTCATCAAATAATCGGTCAAATCGCGACCAGCCAAATCCAGACGCAGGATGGCATGGGGCAGGGCATAACCTTCATAAATGGGCACAGTGTGGGAGACGCCATCGCCAGAGTCCAATACGATACCAGTGGTACGACCGGACGCATATAGGGAGAGAACAGCCTGGATGGCCACATACATGGCTGGTGCGTTGAATGTCTCAAACATGATCTGCGTCATCTTCTCACGATTGGCCTTGGGGTTCAGTGGCGCTTCGGTGAGCAGCACTGGGTGCTCCTCGGGTGCGACACGCAATTCATTGTAGAAAGTGTGATGCCAGATCTTCTCCATGTCATCCCAGTTGGTGATGATGCCATGCTCAATGGGGTATTTCAGGGTGAGGATACCTCTCTTGGACTGTGCCTCATCGCCCACATAAGAGTCCTTCTGGCCCATACCGACCATTACGCCCTGATGGCGTGGACGACCCACAATCGAGGGGAAGACAGCGCGGGGCGCATCATCGCCGGCAAAGCCAGCCTTGCACATACCGGAACCATTGTCCACAACCAATGCGGCAACTTCATCATCACACATCTTGGCGTCTGGTCTGTGTTAACTGCAATAAGACAGCAATAACGTACACTTAATAATATTGTTTTGCGAAAGGAACACAAATTTCTAAACGAGACTGATTGAGACAACGGTGTAAAATAAAATAGTCAAAAATCATAAATCCTACTCAAAAGCACACACAATATCAAAAAGTTACTTGGACTTGTGAATGAATTTAGATCAAATTATTTATACATATATATATATTTTTATTGTACTAACCGTTTTGGTAAGAAAGAAGAACTGTAAATTAAATAGCAACACTTTCGCTGTAGAACTGCGAGTGGCTGCTGGATTGTAATGAGCTAATATTTATACCATTTGTCCGACCCTCAGTCGCACAGATCTTCCACACAGATACACGCACAGAGCAGACACAGATACAGATACAGATACAGAGCGGCGACGTCGCTTCTCAGACATATGCAGCACATGGATGCACATTTTGCTTAAAGGGGAAATTTTGAATATCTTTAAAAATAATATTTTTTCTTTCATAATTTCCGAGAGGCCAAAACCGTCGTCGTCGCTGAGCGGAGGGTAAACAAAAATTGCTCACACACATTCCCACACACACACACACATACACACACACACACACAAATAGAGATGTGTGTGTACAGTCGATCCTCCGTGAAGGCATCGTAGGCGTTGTGGTGCTCGGCACTTTTTGTGTTTGTGTGCGCATTTAAATTTGTTTTGTTTTGTCTAATTTTTAATCAACATTTGCACGTTGGTCCAATCCATACATGGGGATGGTTGGAACTCTCTCTCTCTCTCTCTCCTCGGGCAGAGAGCGCACTCGTAATTAGAAAAAAGAATTTCAAAACAAAACAAAAAATTAAGTATCGAAAATACGCGCCACATATTTTCTGCTATAATTCGTTGGGTGTGCGTGTGGGTGTGAATGAAGGTGGATGTGGTTGATGTGGATGTGAATGTTGATGTTGATGTGGATGTGGAATTGGAGGTGGAGGTTTCGGCCCCATAATCACTAGTCGCAAATTGTTAATAGCTCGCGCATTGCATTTGTAGAATCGGCAATTTATTGCACTTTAAGAACTTACATGCTGAAATCATCAATTATGTAAATATAGCTGAATACATTTCAGCATATTTGGCTACACATAAAACAGTTTTAGCCCAGCGATTGTTTACTTATTTATTAACTTGAAAGCATTAAAAGAATATGTGTTTGTTGTTTACAAAAGAGCTTCTGCTTTTCTGTTTTAGACTGTAAATAAGTAAAAAAAAATATAATATAAATACAAATATCGTGCGCTCTCACGTTTTCGCATAAGATTCTTTGACGCTGACGCGCAGATACGAATGGAATTCTATTTTTATATCCAGATTTTAAGACTATATATTTATATAGCTATGTATGTTTGGCCAGTTAATACAGGTGCAAACACTGCACGGGCTTTGAACGACTTGCATATACCCTACTATATATATACGTTTATGATTTTATTGCATTTGTAATGTGTTATTTTGTATCATTTTTACAAGATTGTATAATTTGAATCGCGTGAATTTCAATCATTTCATTGTTTATTCATTAAAATTATTAACAATTATATTAATGTTTATATAATTCCTTGAAACACTTAAGTATTATATTAACACATTTATTTTATTCCGCATGAAGGGCATATTGGACTGGACTGCATTTGCTTTGACTTCCATGTGCTTCGATTTTATTGGTATGTTTTAACACCAGACTATATATTAGCTACGATTTATTCAATTAGCTCTATCACTTTAATTGCTTAACAAACGACAACAGCAAAGAATTTATTAAATATTCAGCTTATAACTAGTTCTTTCAGGGTCTTGCCGCTAAAGTGTTGAAACTCGCCAACAATTTCTTAATATCTCTATCTTTAAGCTATCGTTGTACATATTAAATTTATTCTAAATCGAAAAGGTGTTGCAAAATTCAATGAAAATTACATGAACTAATAAATATACTAACCAGAAGCTCATTCAGCCAAGCACATCGCCTAGCTATACGCGAGCAGCTGATTGAGTTGTGTTGGCCAGCAACAACAAAAACATGCCAATTTGATGATACCACAACAAATGTGTAAATCTAAAAATATGTGCTTATTTTTTGTGTATTTTTTGTTTAATTATGAGAACATCTGCATATATATTTATATATTATTTTTGTGTACGGGGCAGCCGACGTAGTGGGCCACCACCTTTTAAGGATGCATCAGCCAAGGAGGTGATGACGACCACGAACAGTGGCACTATCTAAACATTTTGAAAGACTAAAATCAAAATTTATAAAAATATTTTAAGTTATTTCATGTAAATCTATTTGTATTCTTTCTTCAAATTTATCTCCCTTTCTTATTAACGTTTTTTTCCTTATGTTTAACAACTGATTGGATTTTTTCTGGATTTTCCCAATCCTTTGAATAAATTCTAAACCAATTTACATTTTACTTCCCCCAAATTTAATATTCTCTTTATTTTATTTGTATTTTTCAAATTTGTATTTATTATTCCCATTAATTTGTTTGTTTTTAGTTTATGTTAAATAAATAAATACAAAAATATATAAAAAGAAAAAAAAAGTTGAAGTCTGTCAGAAAAATCAAAGTGAAACTGTTAAATTAAATAATTTAATATAAAGCAGATGTGCTTAGTTTAGAAAATTTTTTTTTAATATAATAATCGGGTTCTTAAGGGACACTGTAGATCAACGACAACTGCTTGGATTAAGACAAGCAGCCGCAACGGTAACGCTGCTGTGCATTCCACGCCATATTGCAATTTTATATTTTTAAATTGCATAATGTGCCAAAAGAATATGTAAAATATATAAGTATATGTACTATATACATATTTATAAATGAATATGAATATGTTTTGCAATTTGTATTTTCCAATCAGTGGCGCTTTTCGTCATGTGAAAGGTTGCACTATGCGTATGCGTAATTTTCCCTCTTTTTTTCTTAGAAGCGTCCAAAGCGACGATGTATGCAACGTAGTACCCTGAGGCGTGTGCGCCACTTAACCACCAGTAAATACACCACACATTCCAGGATAAAGACACCGCCGGCCAGCAGTGTAAGGACGCTGGCAAATGCAAAGGCACCGTGAAATGCGCCCAGTGTCAGCGCCTTGAAGGCATCCTCCTGCACACCTGTGATCTTCTCCTGAATCATTCGCACCATATCCAAATCACGTGCCCACTTCTGCATGTGTCCCGACTCGATGACGTGCTGTATAACCGCATTGATGTGGTGCAGCAGATGATATTTCTTGGGGAGCAGCATAGACACCTGATAGACATATAAGGATTCCTTACGATCAAAGCAATATAGGCGATCTCGCTGAATTCGGGCGTTGTAGAAGGCATGTTGCCTGGACACGGAAACGACAACATTTTCTTGGTCCGCGGCATTATTGAGACACTCCACAATATTTACGCACACCTCAAAATTTTCACGTATATACTTGAAGGTCTACAAAGAGAGAGGGAGAGAGAGTGCAATTTAAAGTGAGACGGCTCTGCGGATACCCACCTCACCCTCTTTACTGAGATGCCTCACATTCTCGGAGCTGATCAAAATCCTCATGCGTTCACTATAAATCTCCTCCAGTTCACTAATTTGGGCTTGTGTCGTCGGAGTGGTTAGTGTGCTGATCAGAACACTTTGATACGTGTTGCTGAAGAAGAAGGCCAGAATGAAGGCCATAAGCAGTAGCAAGCGCAAAGCATTTGGCATTGCTTGGGCATTCACATTAATGGCCTGGGTGACCAAAATGCCCAGCATGCGTATGCAGATGGACAGATAGTTGCGCACACTCTTCAGCTTAAAGCCGGAGATGTGCTGTACCATCACCACGCCCAAAGAATTGACTACGATGGTCAGCAGCAACAATAGCCAAGCAACGGCATCAAAACTGGCCAAAAAGTTGAATAGGCTATGCTGGCGCTTTGCCTTCGCCACGCACCAGGTGAGCTCATCCTGATGATATGGTGTGGAACTGGACACAAACTGACTGATTTTGGGATCTTCATCGATGCCGCCCACAATCATTTCGATTTTTCTGTTCAATAATCAAAAATAAAAGTTTAAATCATACATACGTACGTAAAGATATTTATTCACTTATTTAATGTGAACTAAATGCAGTCCCCAATCATTTAAAAGTTAAAAATTAAAGTTGTACAATAAATTATAAACAATTAAAAATAATAACACTAAAATATAAAATTCAATAAATGAAATATAAAATATCTGGATATATTTATATGTAAAATAGTGATATAAAGAATAGTCAATGAAACTAGTTTAGTGTATGAATAATATTGCAATGATAAAATTGCTATCATACATTTTGACCTAAAATTATTTTGCAAGTCTAGAGCAGAGGCCCTGGCCAAAAAGTTATTGCACTTTAAAATCGGTTCAGTTATGGGAGTGGCAAGTTCAGTTTGCTTTTTTGTGGCACAGAATAAGAAATATATTATTATTAATATTTGGATGTTTGAATCTAAATCTAAACATACGAAAGAAATAGAAATACTTACAGATCAATTTTGTACAAAATCTATTTTTATTAATTATTTAAAACTAAAAAATTATATTACTAATTCACTAATTTTGTAAATAAGACATGTAACATATAATATATAAACATTTATTAATTTATAAATTAAATGGAAAAGTTCTATACTTTTCAATAATTCTACAATTGTGTTTAAATGTTCTTCTCTTGGTTCTGAAATCTGTAAGCCTATTTTCCAATCTTTTAGCCGAGTGGTGATTGCATGTATGCCAATCACATAAATGCCTTACCAGACTAAGACATAATCTATTTTAATTTTTGTTGTGAGCAGTGCTAATCAAACTTACTTCCGCTTTAGAGTCCGACGCTTATATGGATAATCTAAATTGTTAGTCAATCTTTTAGTTGCGTATCTTAGTCTAAGTGCGTATCTATATCCCTAAATGAAGCTTTAGTTCAAATTTCAGTTAACAAGCACTTAACCTTTTAGCCACAAGTTATCAATCAATCAAAAGTTACATCAAATCACTTACCCCTCGATTAGCTGCTGGAACAGATGGAATACATTGCTGCTCTTGGTGGTGAAATCGATACTCACATGGAGTCGCTGGGCAATGGTCTGCGTTAGTTGATACTCGATGCCAGTTAGCGTTGACAAGCCAACCGATTCATCGACTTGATTGGTATTTGGCATTTCATCTTCTGCGTTGTTATAATCTTCTTGCATTTCATCATTATAGTCGTAGCTCGGAGCGGTCTCGTTACCCGCTCCGCCTGTCTCGTAATAGGCTGGGCCTACTAATGGCGCCTGGCTAATGGGGAATATATACGGCTCCCATGGACCACGATAACCAGCTCTAATGGGACAGCCGCTCAGATCACGGGGGAATTTATCTTCAAATCTAGCACGTACATATTCTTTGACTTTTATTTCTGGTTGATCCGATTTGGATGTTTTATTGGTGCCCTCGTTTTCTTGACTGTCCATTTTAAAGCTACTATTCTCATTTGTCGTTAGGCCTAAAGCCCGGGCAGTAGCATGAGAGTTCATATCCACAATTGTGGTATCATTATATTCATCTGCATTTTCGTCAGCAGGTTCCACCTCATTGACATATTCCGCTTCCTCGACTGTAGTTGCACTATTTTCATTTTCTCTGTTTTCAGTTGGCCCATCATCATTATTCCCGTATTCCGATTCCGCTTCTCCATTGTCTTGAATAAACTCGTTCTCGATTTCGTCTTCAAAATTTGTGTCTTCGTTGTCGAGTTCACTGCTGGAATCGTCATCCTCCTCAGCTTCTTCATAGCTGCATGAATCCAAGAACTCTACGGCAATCACACGATTACCACAATTATTATCCGGATGATATGGAAAGACTGTCTTGCCAGAGTAAAAACTGTTTTCATCACTCTGCCCGATCACATTCACATTGTAGAGATGGTTGTTCATGAAGCTCAAGAGTATCTCGACCATCAAGTCGGTCATCTCTTCGTCTGTCTCCTCCACAGAAGCCAAATACACCACAAACTGTGCCAACGGGTTCCAGTTGAGCATGCCCTTCCAGTGTGCCAGCGTCTCATCCAAATCCTCATCGTCCAGATTGTCCACTACCAAAAAATAGCCTTGTGGCTTCACTTGCATGACTTGCTGCCCATCGAAGTTAGTTTTTGTGTGCGTCACCAAAATGGTCCATGGACAATCCGGCTGAATGTTAAACTCACGCAGCAGCTGCTCCTGAATATCGCGACTATAGGGTGTGACACTCACGCAGAGCACGGCACCGGAGAGTGTATCTCCGGAGTTGAAGTATTTTTGTAGCAGGGCCAAGGTGCATGCTGCCTGGGACTTGTCCTCGTCGCGTACCTGCATTAAATTAATGCCAAAACCGTTAACCACAACTGTGCGCAATGTCAGCTGGAGCAGCAAAAGTGCTGCCACCGAAGTGGTGCCACCACTTGATAGTCGTAATGGTGGCGTTGACATGCGGACGAAAACTAAACGCGAAACGCCCTCGTTGTGGCCTAGGTAAGCGACACACTCTAAGCCACAAGGGAGCCTTGGGGCCAAGTTATTATTATCCAATTACCCTTGCTAATATTCAATTCATGAATTTGCCCTCCGGCAAAATCCAAACCATTAGTGTTATTTGTTTTTATGTTTGTTTTAGTTTGATGCGCCCTGCACGCTTCTATATTTTCCTAGCTTTCATATTCGAAGGTTAGAAAATGTCACATAATATAAAAAATGCAAAATGATGTTGTAATTCGGCATTCAGTCTGCACAGATTTATAAAGTGGTATTGGTCCTGTCACACCCAAAGTTGGCACCAACTAGTTTGGCTACGGCAAACTGGAAATTGTGCTGTCGAAGTACAACAAAATAAAAAAATCAAAAATGAAAAGTAAAAATACGTATATTAAAGTGCGTGCGTAAAAAGGACTGAAGTCTGTCATGTGGCTATTCGTTATTCATATACGCAAAATATATGTAACTGTTGTCACAAATTCTTTTTTTTTTATCTGAATGCTTGACAACATACCAGTTTGAATGTACTAAAATTAAAGTAGGTAAAATTGTTGATTTCAAAACTTTTGATATATTTTTTTTTTTGCAAATTAAGACTACTGCACACTTTAAAAAAGACATCAATTGCGAAAAGACTCATGAATTTAGATTTTTGCTTCGATATTGAGAAAAACATGACTTGTCACAAGATACGTTTAAATTAATCGTCGCTAGGCAATTGATTTTCAAATGTATACTTAAATATTTTTGATGTGACTTAAACAAAAATTCAAAGAATAACTTACAACTAACTTGTTTTGTCGTTGAAAAAAAAAGTGCATCCGGCTTGCAACGTGATCACGAGTTGCTAAATATGTTAAATTTTGAATTTGTGAAAATCTGAATTTCTATTTGTATTCTATAGAAACTGACAGCCGGGACTTTTTTTTTATTATTTTAAAGTAAAGGTATTCTTATATATAATGTCGTATTTAATTAATTCAATATACAACTGCGACCAAAATTATAGCCCCACTACCATAAGAAATGATTTCTTTGTTTAATTTTAAAGAACCTATGAAATCATTTTTAGTAGTGAGATACGTTTACAAAAATCTGAGAAAGAAAATAAATATATCTTATCATTTTCTTTATAGTTTTTAAAACTTCTACATGCAATTTTCAATTTTTTGATAATTACAATAATTATCCATGGTTTCTTATTCGTTAAGCTTGTGTCTCTACTTTATATGTATAATGTTAGTTTATTTATACTTTGAATATTACATATAATACTTGTACGTTTATGCATAACTTGTAATTGATTGATAACCAAATGTAAAAATGAATTTTACTTCGCACAACCGTTTTGTGCTAGCCACCAGCTTCAATGTCCACGTCAACGTCAGTGGTTCTACCTTACAGGCGTGGTGCTGGCCTTCATTCAAGCCAATATATATATAAATACGTAAATGTATTTGAATATGGAGGAATGTCTGTATGTATGTTGACTGATTTATGGCAGCCAAAATGGGTGTATGCACCACAACAATACCTAACTGACCATAGAATGCTGAAGTCGAGTTAGTTAATCGAGTTCGACTGCGAGATACCCCGAAGTCAGATATTCAGCAAGTTATATAAGTTTTATTGCCAAATTTACCTTTAAAAAGCTTTACACACTCAATTGTAAGCAGTTGCGCTCATTTGTTATGGTCGGGACAGGTACTAAAGGGGTAAAAATAATTAAGGCGACTCAAGATCTGATTCAGAAGCCCAAATTACGAAACTTGTACAATAGTCTGACAGACAAATACAGACAGATAGACTGATTTGGTTACATCGACTCGTATGTTGGTGATGACTAAAAATATATATACTTGATAAATTGGGAGATGCTACTTTCTGCCTGTTACAAACTTTTGCACAACTTCTGTATACCCTTTTTATACATTTTATATAAGTTCAGTGTATAAAAAGCAAGAAAACGAATAATATTTCATTGTATATTGCACAAAGCAATGATACATAACTGGGTAAATGCAGAGTGTTATCGATAATCTAGTATGATATTATGGTTGATGAATTCAGCGGAAACTGAAAGTATAAACACACCATTGTGGTAAATGCTGCTGGAGCATGGATGGAGAACCGGCTGTTGGCGCACCTTTAGCGGTGGTGGAGCCTTCAACGACCTGATATATTGATCAAATTGGCTAAATGGGATAGTTTTATAGTGATCTTTAAGCGAGCACCTTAGGGGTACTTTTGGAGCGTTGTAAATCTCGCTTATATGAGTAAATTAAGTGTTTAGCCAAATTTGGTATTTACAATTGTGCAAACGCTAACAAAATGCGTTAAATGCCTACCAAATTGAAGACCTTGTCAACACTTCGAATCCACTAATTAAACTGACAAGCTGCGGCTTTGGCGATTCAAAAAAAAAAAACTGCAAATAGTTGGCAATAAATATTCGGATGCCATTAAAATTCAGTATGAAACGGCGCACAGACTGCAGAATTTAAAGCAATAACAATGACGATGAAGTGATAATGATGACAGGGTATGCGTAAGTGGAGAGCGCCACAGACGGCCAGACAGTTAGGCAAAAGTAAGTAGCTGCACTCAGAAAAAAAAAACAGAAAAAGTTATACAGATCTTCATGAAAGCTTTATTGGGGATAAGTGAAATTCGTTTAAAAACATGTACAGAATTTTGTAAATTTAAAAGTAAGAAATATTATTGTTAAGTATATTATTTATTTGGTTTTTCCAATTTGAATATTAGTTAAATTATGCAAATTAAAATTTGAACTTAAATTTTAATATTTAATTCTTTATTTAATTTTGTCATTTGAATTTTTTAGCTTTAATTTAAATTTTAAATATTATTTTTAAAACCTTTTTTATAAAATTATCCACTGTTATTTAGTCCATGTTAAATAAATTAATACTAAAGTTGTTAAATACACTCTTCTCACAATTTTTCATTGATTTTTATATGTTAACAAATCAAAATTCATGGAACACGATCTCTTCAGTACTAAGATGAAGAAGAGAGTTTTTTTCTAACTGTACTATAAAAACGATTGGATATACAAAGTTCATTTCGTAATGACGGCGAAACCAAAGAGTCAAATGCTACAACGCTTACAGTTATAAGCGGGTAAATGCTCAAATGTGCATTAAGTGAGCGATTGCGGCTATTAATCTTCATGTGAGTGGAGTCGTCACTTTGCCACACTCCGCCTCAGACTGGGCTGGGGCTGGGGCAGGGGCGGGGTTGAGCAGCAGCCTAGAGCGTAGTGTTTCTCTATGAATTGGTTACTTTCGAAATACAAAACAGCTAATGAGCGACTTGTGAGGGCACTGAAGCCATTGTCGTCGTTGTGAAAGGAGAACTGATACAATTGTTGTCAACGCATGCCTCAGAGCGATGCCACCTACACCCACGTCACCAGATTCAGTTTTCACTCCAACTCCGGGTTGGCTTTCGTAATCGTAATCGTAGTCGTAATCATGTTATGTTCAAGTGCAAAGAGCATGCGACAGTTTGATTCCATACAACGTATGTTGCGGTTATATCATTATACTATTACCACAGATGTCTGTTCATATGGCCTTGACTTTGGCCATGTTGTGTGCCTAGAATCGGGCCCTAAAAACTCTATACTACATATGTACACAATTTGCACAATTAATCAGTAAATAAAAGCAATTAAGCTGCTTAATGAATTTATGAGTAAATAACATTTGAAACGAAAGTGAATGCTTGTTTTTTCTTATGATTTCGATGGCCGGAATTTAAACTTGTTAAAAGTTTTTGTGTCCAATTAAAACGAAGCAAGATGAACTTTACAAGAATTGCTATACTGTTATATGTATATATATAAGGCAATTGGGCATTACGTTTATGGCTCATTCTCAGCTACTCCACATGCCCAATGCATACAAGACCCAAACCTACACGAGCTGCTCTAGCTTGGCTAATTCAGGCGGCAAACCAGTCGGCAAACCAGATGTTGTTGTTATTGCAGTTGATATATTTTTGTATCTTATTTTTGTTTATTGCTGCTGCTGTTATTGCAGTCTCTATTTTGTTGGCTACAAACGATATTTTATTTTTACTTTTATTTATATTTGATTTTTTTTTTAGCTCTGCGCAACCACTTTTCGATTACTTAATAGTTTTTAAACATTTTCACAAAGTAAAAAATGGTATTCATTAAAAATTGTCAAAAATAATCTGTTTTAGTCGTAGATTTGTCTCTTTTTTTGTGGCTTTTTTTTCGGCAGTCGAATTGTACTACGAATGGTCAGCGGCCAGCAAACAAGTTGTTGTCTAAAGATCTCCACAGTTCCTGGATACTAACTTGGCTTTCACCACTCTTTAGAGGGTAGAGTCACCACATGGGTAAGTTTAATACATGTGCCCGCAAGTGTTATGAAATGCAGTTGCAATTCACTTTAGTTCACTCGTCGACCTCATTCATGCTCAAGTCTGCGCCTGTTTAGGATTTACAGCTTAACCTGTTCATTAACCTAAAAATTATACAAATAACGAAAGCTAATACTAAATAATAATTCAATTTACTTTACCTTATATACATTTATTATTTATGAATATGCAAATCACTTTTATAGCCTTGAATAGGGTATAAAACTGTATCAAAATATTTTTGATTTCAAAGCAAAGCACAGTTTAAAATATAATGCTATAACCATTAATTTAGCCAGGCCAAAATGTCAGCTCGTGATACGAATAGGTACCCCAGAGTCCATAAAAAATAACTAATAACTAAAAAATTACAAAAAAAACTAGCAATTAAATTCTGGTTTATATGTTAACACCTGATAAATTTATTATTTATTGCCTTATTTGATTGTGAATGAATTAGAAGCTCATAAATCTTCGGCAAAGGAGATGAAAATATCCATGACAGCAAATAATATTTTAAACACGAGTAAATATTATTAATCTGTGTTGTCGATCTTTTACTGCTCTAGAGAAAAGCTTAGCATACTTAAATGCTTTTGGTGTAAATATATTTTTTGCTGGCTCCAATCCAATTGTTTTTATTTTCGGAGATTCGGGTGTCGGGATTCGTCAGCAGGAAAATATTCACAGAGTCCATTCAATTAATTGTGAAGTTTGAAACCAGTTCAACTTGACCGGGAGCCAGTAAAAAACATATTTAAATTACGAAAAGATGTCACCAGACAGTAAAAATTTGGGTTTATTATACAAGTCTTATGAAATGTTCACCTGTATTTAATCATTTGGATTTGAGTTAAGCAACTCAAACTCATAGAACACTGATAATTTATCAGGAATTGCCTTTAAATGCCCAATTGTCAAATGTGTATTTTTGTCGGGCTTAGAGTGTAAACAGGTTTGATTTATTTCAATTGATTAAATGTGCAGTATAACTAAGTGTTTTTAATTTGCCCAATGCAATGAATGGGTTAAGAAAGGCAATAGACTCCCGTGATTCCAGATAGACTGGTTTAACAATTGGACGAGATGCTTCGCATTCCAGTCTAATTAAATAAAACAATAATATAATTTTAAATATATTGCGCCTGATAACACAAATATTCTATAAAAGAGTTAAGCTGGTTTATTGCGTTTAACACAATAACAATGATGCTCTAAAATTTCATGAACTTTTATCTAATCATAACAGAGCATTTTCTATTTATAAATAGTAATACCCGGAATTGTGCACAGCATTATTCATTGATAGACTTTGGACCTACCCAATTACCTGCCACAAATCATTTCATTAAAAGCTGTCAGCTAAACAAATTGATAAGTCTGTGTCTAGCCACAATCAGTCGCATATATATCCCCATATGCATATTCGCTAAAGATGTCAATCAATCTTATGAATAATCCACATGCAAACATGCATAAGTCAAAAATTTGTGACTGCAATTCGGAACTGAAATTGCTGTTATTTTTTCATCGTTTTTCTCTATATACCCTGTCATAAACAACTGCAGCAGATGGGTATGTGTTGTTGTTGAAGCTGTGAATTGGAGATTAAAGTATGTAGACGCAAATTGAGTAAATACTGGTTGAAGTTGAATAAAATAGTACTTAAATAGCAAAATGTAAATTTAAGTCAATTAGTAATTTTAAAAACTAATAATAAATTGAACAAGTAATATTAATAAATACTTCAACACGAAATGGTGTTAATAGACATGATTATAAGGTCAAAATTATTGCGCTTCATTGAATTTCTTATTTGAATATTGCTAATTATATATTCAACTGCAAACATTTTGAATATAAATTGTATCTAACAAATGCGAAATTCAATATGCACGAAAAGGGTATTGTTAAACTCGAAGACTGCAGCATGCAACGCTGCTCTGTTTGGTGTTTATTAAAAAAATCAACTCTTATAAAATTCGATGTGGCTATGAGACGAGCGCAGTTGCAAAGCGGCAGCCGCAACGCTTGGACGTGTCGCGAACGGCAAATTTACGCAAACGAATACGAAACGGAGTCAATAGCAACAGAGCAGCAGCAGTTAACCGAATGTATATCAAAGTAAGCTAATGCCAGATGCAAACCAGCTAACAAATTGGCTAGCTCGTCACAGAACGGGCCAAACAAAAGACTTAGGCAACGAACGCGAATGCATTCGTCTGTTTTGGCACGCGGCAAGTCGGTGCACTTTGAAGTTTTTTTGAAGTTTCGTTAAGTGTATCTGAAACTGTGTGGTATATGTGAAACGGTTAGCTTTCGGTCTTTGAGCCATAATCCAATGTCCCAGTGAAGCCAAATGCGACTCTCGCTGGAATTGTTCGTTAAGGCAAAAAAAATAAAAAATAAAAAAATCGATTGCAACAAATATATGCAACTAAGGTATCCATAGCCAAGGGTATGCAGTTGGCCAACAGCCTTGTGTGTTATTGGCCAAAAGCGCACAACGACCACCGTGGCTGGTGACGCTTGTGCCTTCGTGCGTGCCCAAATTAAGAACTGTGTTAGTTAGGTTTACAACACTTAATATCGATGACTTTGGGCTGCCATCGAGGCGTTGACTCATTTGTGCATATATAATAAACGTGTGTGTGTGTGTGTGTGTGTGTGAGTGTTGTATAAGGAAATTGAGCGGCACGTTTGACCTGAGCGGTCAGCTATGCAATTTGCAAATGCAATATTTGTTTTTAACAAATTTTGCCAATGAGTTAATTAAAGTTCATTTACGTAAAACCATAAAATTTTTATTGCTACAGATAAATATTTCTCAGAATGCTATAGCTGTGGCAATTAAACCTTTGCCACATTGTTACTGCGCTGTCTGTCTACGTTTCTGTCCGTCGTGAAACGCGTGAGAACAGAGTCAGAGATTGCCGCAGATCAGACCGTTAGATATGGCAACAACATCCATCGCCGACGGGCTGTTGACTGTCTTGTTTGACAGTAAAGAAAGAGTTGAACTCAATTTCATACAAGAATATGAATTTGCTGTACTCTTGGAGAGTTTGATTCACTCAGTCATTAATTGTTACTATTTATAGTATTCCCATACACTCAGAGAAACACATTCGTCCTACATTTATAAAATTTGACATACTTTGGCAGCAACTTGTTATTCAGAAAATATATTTTTAAAACAGAAAGTTTGGTTTCTCTAAAAATCATCGATTTTATTTTCTTAATTCCAGTGTACATTTTTCTAATATAGAAAACAATTTGTCTAATTTCCATATGTGTACATAAAACTCTAAACATTCACTTTTGTTTGTATTACTATTGAACATTAATTTTTAAAGATTTCACATATTCAAACAGATAGTTTCGATAGTTTAAAAATGCAAATAAGAAAAAAACCTTTAAAAAATGTCTTGCCTTTTTTTGTCGTATATACAGAAATTATTTTGTAAAGTGTGTAAAACCAATACCCTAAAGTTATTGAATGTAAAAGGCATATTTAAGCGGTATACGACCGTTGGAAGATTATACAAGATTATAACAATTTTTGATTACGAGTTGAACAAACAAGTTTGCAATATTTTATTTTAGCTATCAACCAATGTTCAAATAATGACAAGTTTATGGCGACTTTGTACGTCAATGAATAGAAAAGTCGCATAAAACATTTTTTTAATGCCAAAAGCGAACGTTTCTATTGTAATAGAAAATAAAATGAAGAGCGCTGCATTTGAAGTAGTTTCGCTTTTGTGGCATCATCTTTCAAGCCCAGCGGCTTGCAATGGTTTGTTCCGCCAGTGAAGTGCGTGTCATCAAAAGGCAGTGGCAAATCATCAACATTTGTCAAATTTTGGAGGCCGCAGCTCATAAATTACTTGGCATGAGGCCTAACTCACCAGCCAATGTCAACGTATTTTTTTCTTTGGGACAGAAATTGTTCACATTTCCGCTTTGCATATGTTTTACGAGCCATGTCACTTGGCACTTATGCAATTTAACCAATTTTTTATACTTCAAAATCTCGAATAATAAATTCAATTAACTCCGTTATCAAGTCTAGTGTGTGTGGCACATGCGCAATTATCAAAGAAAGTAAAAAAATATAAATTATGGTGTCGGTCAAGTTGTTCGTTTCGCTTGCAACATGTTCACTCATGTGTGCCACAACAACAACAAGCACAACAACCACTAACATATATAATGCAAGTCTGTCAAACCGATAAAGTTCGGAGCTGCAAGCAAATCGGACTGTCAGCTCAATTTAATGTCAACCGTTGCATGTGGTGAACATTAGGTGGCACCAGGCTACAACAAATTATACTCTCAACAAATATCAAAAAATAAATGCCAACTAAACTTATCAAACTAGTTTTTCGACTATTTAAAATGTTAACTCTATAAATGGGCTGCATTACTTGGTTTGCATGACACTGAAATGTTGGTTTAATATTCTTTTGGCGCCAAAGGTAACTCACCTTATTCTTCAGAAAGTATATTTCTAAAACGGAAGGTTAATCACAGTCTATATTTTTTATACATTTGAAAAGTTATAGATATTATATATTATCAAATAATACATCTTTCTAATTTTGGATTTTTTTTTTTTTATTTGAAGAAATTGTTTATGAAGACAAGAAAATCTTTCTGGTTTTCTAAATTTAATTTAATTTGTATTGTGAGAATGACAATATAAAAAGTGTGATATATTGCTCGATGAGCGTATATTCTATTATATTTTCAGCTAAGCAACTATTTTAAATTAGTAAAAACAAGTTCGAAGATATCCACAGAGAGCTAACATTTAAAAAAGTCAGTCATCAATTTCACATATGGCTTGACCATCCAATGTTCAAAGTCTGACATATATATAATTTTGTATTTTTTTTACTTGTTGCATAATGTAGCCAATGGCATTTTATGAAATGGAGCACTCTGTGAAATCGAGCACAAAAGAAAAAATAAAAAGAATAATAAGATGAAAAAAAGTCCACGTACAAATGCTCAATCTTAATAATAGTCTGTCTGAGACCCACCTGTCAATTAGTCCACCTGTTGTCTACGGGCATTCGAGACGGAGTCTTAACAAGGCTAAGCAATAACCAACCTAATTTGAATACAATGCCGTGGCAAATTCAGAAATCCCATATTGGCTCATTGGTATAGATATATTATATATTATTATTATTATTAAGAAAGGGCCTCGCTCTTGAATATAAAACAAGTGACTTATATATAAACATTAACATATAACAATTAATGAGTTTACAATGTATTGTGTTTTATTATCACCTTTATTCAAATTTCAAACCGGAAAAACAACAATGAATCGTTTATTTATTGCTTATGACCATCATAAAATGCATCGGCGTTTAATTGAAATGTGTTTATAATTGCTCGATGGTGCATTTTACTATTGAATTTTAAATTTGCACTTTGAATCATAAATCATTTATTTTTATAGAAAACACGCGCCATGCGCCACCTTCTAGCCAGCGTCCTTTGTTTTCTGCTGTGGCCAACCGCTCACATTTCTGCTCTGGCTCCATCACCTGGCTTACAGGTGGTCAAGCAATGGAAGCTGCTTGGCTATAACTTTCCGCAATCCTCCCGTTCCAACGATGCCAACTTTTATAGTCCAACGAATGTGCTGATTACGGGTATTGCCGTCAGCGAGGATCGCATCTTTGTAGCCACCCCAAAGTTATTATCGGGTGTTTCCTCGACTGTGAGTTGGGTGCCCAAAGCACAGATTGGTGACTCACCTACACTGCAGGCCTATCCCGACTGGTCCTTCTCCAACACGGCTCGAACCAACTTCAATTGCAGCGATCTGATTCTGACTTCGGTTTATCGACTACGCATCGATTCCTGCAATCGCTTGTGGATACTGGATGCGGGTATCTCTCGCTCTCTGGAGGATTATGAGACCACCTGTCCGCCAAAGATACTTGTAGTCGATTTGGATACGGATCGTGTGGTGCGTCGGATTGATTTTCCGCGCGAAGTGCTGCGTGGTGAATCCCTGTTCACCAATATGGTGATTGATGAGACCACAGCGAAAAGCTGTGACGATGTCTTTGTGTATATTACGGACACAGTGGAGCCTGGCATTATAGTCTATGACAGCGCCAAGGATCTCACCTGGCGTCACTCGCATCCAGGTAGAAAATATATCAATTATAATGAATATAATCTTTTGAATATACATATATGTTACATTCATACTCGTAGCCATGTACCCCGATCCGGACTTTGCACAGTCCGAGATTCTCAACGATCGCTTTGTGCTGATGGATGGCGTAGTTGGCTTGGCATTCGATGAACGCAACGGCATTGTTTACTTCCAGCCGCTGGCCACAGATCGGTGAGTGAAAACTGCCTTGGACAGATAGCGATTTAAATTAATTGTTCGTTGGAAGTGAAGTTGGTCTGATTTTAACAACTCCCATACTCCGATACCGGAGCTAGAAATCGATGAAAGCGCAGATGACTATAAAATTTTAAAGCTAAAGTCACCAAATGTGGTTAGTATCATCAGAGAGTGGCACTAACCAAGCCAACCACAATGTAAGAGATATATTACCGGTAATTTCCTTTAAAGATCGATCAAAACCGAAATATCTGATATCTGATTTAAAAGATAACTATAAATATATTATATATAATATATGGTATAGTACTTTTAGTTGTAAACTTCTCACTTGTTGTATTTAATTATTGATGAAGATGAACTGTATGTGTAATGTGATTTGAGTCCTTTCTTTCAAACTCTGATGTTCTACTTTCAACTTGTTGAAAAAAGAAGGAAAAAGGAGTTACCTTAGGAGAGTTATCACTATATATATCCAATCTTAATCGAATTCTTGATGTCATTTTCAGCGTGTTCTCTGTGCACAAGAACGTCTTGAGAAGCGGTCCCTTGGCCAATGGTCAAATGCTGGATGTTAAGCTGGTGGGCAAGAAGTCATCGCAGGGCATTGGTTTGGCGGTTTCACCCTACGATAGCAGCCTGATCTTCAGTCCGCTAAGTGAGACAGCCATCGCCTCGTGGAATCCCTCGACCAATCAGCAATCAGTGCTGGCGCAAGATCGCGACAACCTGCAGTTTGTGGCGGATATAACTAGGACGCGTTCAGAGCCAGGTGTTATCTATGCCATTGCCTCAAAGTTCCATCGCTTCTTCCTGAAGAATCTCAATCCCAATGAGTACAACAATCGCATAGTGCGCCTGGAACTGCCGACAGGTAAATCGCCCGGCATTAAGACACCCCTGTTGGGTCATCAGTTGGCAGTGACACCCAAGGGAGCTGCTCAGAATAGCTTGCTGCCATATGGTGTGTATACGCCACACACACAGACGCACACACACACGAACGCACTGCAAACGTATTTTACGAGTCCGGCGCTAACCACAAGGACACCCTACAAATTCGAGAATGCGGGCGTGGTCAATTATGGTCTGCGCAATCCGTTCACAGCACTCAATCAGGGCGAGGCGTTTCCGCCTACGAAGGCCACACGGGACATCTATCAGCGTTCCTATCTGGATACCTTGGTGGCTGATCATGTGACCACTGCACCTGCATCTGCAGTGCCTTACTCTGCATCGCCAGCGCCTTATTCTACATCCCCAGTGCCTTATTCTACATCCCCAGCGGCTTACTCAGCATCGCCAGCTACTTACACCACCCGGCACAATGGCTATTACTATCATTTAAATTAATTCATGATTTTAGCACAGCTTTTGATTATTTTTTCGTTTTGTAAATATTATTTTATTTATTTACTCTTTTTCTATTTCTTTCTTGTAAATACTTTCTTTTTGTTTTTATTTCAATTACTTATGCGGCTCATTCGAAAATAAAAATTATAATATACACTTGAAATACTTGGAAGAACTTTCATTTGAGTTATGATGTGTTGGCTTATCCACACTTCGCTGCAGCCGCCTCATAATTGCTCAATAATTTGTTAAAAGCCGTTATTAAATTAAAGCTTTACCACGACGAGCTTAAATGCACACCACGCTGACATTAATGAGCCATAAAATGACAGCCTAACCAGTTCTGAAGCATTTGAGTTTTTCTTGGCCAACTCTGGCAGCTGCTACTGGCTTGCGGTCTCGTTCTGGTTAACACTAAGTTCATATTACTTAAGTTTCACTCGGCGATTGTGGCAGTTATTTCTATCAATTAGCAAAAAGACACCCATCTATTTAAAAATTATTGAACGATTTCTGAATATTTGTAGGCACAGACGTCGAGCAATGTAAGTAGCTAAGAGTAAATAATAGTTAAACAAGTTATAAATTAAAAAAATTAACATTTCATTTAACATTTTTCTCATTTCTTTTAATAAAGTTCTGTAATTAATGTGGCCATTTCAAATGCATTTAACTTCCTTTATTGGCTGGCGCTGGCAATCATATGAACATATACGAGTTAATATAAATGGAAAAAAAACACATATTCGCTGTTGGAAATTTAAAAAATATAGGTAAAAACAAATGCAAATGGCATGCAAGTGTTGTAAAGACTTGTGATGAAGCACAGTGACACATGAAAATCTCTAAATATACACATTTAGCTTAAGCGACGTGGAAAGCGAGTTTAGCACTTACGTTAATTCCAATAGACCCCCTCCCCCCCTCCACCCACAAAACACACACACACACAAACAGCCACACACATTCACTACTTTCCATCCCGATCTGCCGAGCTATTAGCTCTGACGTTTAACTGTTTTGCCGGTAACTGCGTTTTCGTTTTGAATGCCTCCTCTTTCAAATTGCCTGTCGACAGCAAACTCAAACTGCATACACAGAGCGAAAAAATCGAGTAGCTCGCACTTAAACAAATTTTTAGCTCGATTGTTTTCTACGCTTTAAATTTATTTCTTTTATAACGACAATCATATCATTTGGTGGCGCTATTTAAATATACTTTAAGGAAAATTGTATGAAATCCTTTAAAAAAATATAAAAAATATATTTCATTAAGTTTTTATAATTTCAAATATGTAAACTCGAGAAAAGTTGAATGTAAGAATGACCCATTCGAGAGAGCCCTACTAAAAGATACTCTGATATATTAAACATATATATTAACTCTCAAAAACACTCACAAATATGAAATTACGTTTTTGGGCCTCAAAAACACTCAGAAAATAAATCGACATCAAATTTAACAAATCGCTCTAAACACAAAAACATTTTTCTTGTTTTCAATAATTATTTCTAAGTGCACAAAATATATATACAATAAATCAACTACGAAATTAGACGCATTTCTTCAAAATAACTGAAAAAAGTACACTGGAATTAAGTCAAGGACTCAAACTTTTGTTTTAGAAATATACTTGCTGAAATAAAGAGTTACACTTGACGATTTTCCAAAATTCAGTGCGATTTTCTGCTCTGTGTGCAGTTTATTCAATTCGAAAATTCATTTTAGCTTGTAATGCAAGACTGACTTATTTCGCTCCGTGCAGAGATCAATTATCGCGGGCAACGTCCGTTTGTTGACATGCTGTGAGACTGTGAGGCTGTGAGGAGTGTGCGGGTTCTTGGACTATGTAAATAAAGTTGAGCCATCCGTGAAGAAAGGTGCCCATAAATCTGGCAAGTATTAAACGGCACTAAACTCTTGACATGGGCCTGCGAGAAGGTGAGGTTAACATTAACATTAACGCTTACCTGTTGCGTCGTTTGCTTTGTTTGCTCTCCGCTAAGAACCCTCAACGCTCAACGTCGCAGCGTCTGTTGCCCATTTTGGTCAATTTGGGTTTGTTAGCACTCTGAAGTCGCCGTTGGCCGTTGGCTGTTGGAACTACCTGCCACATTGCCACACGTACAACGTGCAACTTAGTTTTCACGCGTCTCCTGAACAGTTTGGACGACTTGGACAAAGTCTGCTGAAAATGTTTGAGCACAAGTTTATCATAATTATTGTGTTGACTGCTGCCTGTTGCCTACTGCAGGGTATTACACGTTGCCAGCGGTTGCGCCTCAAACAGCTGCACACGCTGCACAAGTGGAGCAACCTCAGCCTGGGCCCTGATCCGGCTCGCAACACTCACTTTCTGCCCGTGGACATTGACATTGAATATGGCGACGAGGGACGTCATCGCACATTTCTCACCATTCCGCGACTGAGTGCCGGAGCACCCTTTACCTTGGCCACCATATCAGCCAGTGACAATGAGCGTGTGCAAAATCCACGACTGGAAGCCTATCCCAACATCAAATGGCATATTGCCTCCAAAAACTGTTCGGGCATTACTTCCGCCATCAGAACTTATGTGAGTGTAATTTGGAGTTCGACTTTGTCGATGCTCTGTTCTAGCTTTATTTTTTATTGTTTGTGTCTTATGATTACTTATTTCTATACCCTGAAACCATTAAAACTTGTTAAAAAGGATCTAAAGTTCTAAAAGTAAAGTTCTTCACAAGTATATTTTTGATCTGGATCAAAAAATGACTCGATATCACGGACTACAGAAGCTGGTATTATGAATTCTCATAAATCTCGCGCAGATTTCATTTGAACGATAACTATTTCCACTTCACGAATATCGATATATATCGATGTACGATACCAATTAAAGCAACAATTTTAAAGGTTGCGCCTTTTAATTGATATATTAAGGAGAAATTGTTTAGAATTTCGCCAAGATTGTATATTAAATAGCCAAGTTCTCAAAACATTTTCTATATAGCTGAACAGGGACACCATTACAGAATTTCATTACAGAAATTATATATTTACTTCGACAACTTCGACTTCGATTTGCTTCTTAACCTGATTTTAATTTAATGTTTCAGATTGATGAATGCTGGCGGCTGTGGGTTGTGGATTCGGGCCAAATGAACTCATTGCAGCTGTGTGCGCCACAGATTTTGATCTTTGACCTGGTCAAAGATGAGCTGGTGCAGCGTTCCACGCTGCCTGCGGCAATGTATACGCCCAGCATTTCGATATTTACGGCCATGGTGGTGGATCTGGCGGAGAATGTGGCACCTACAAAATGTTTGGGTGGCAAGGCCTACATAGCGGATGCTTGGGGCTATGGACTGATTGTGTTTGATGCACTCAGTGGGAAATCTTGGCGAATTGAGCATGAATCAATGCAGCCATCGCTGGGAGTGCGTCGTTTTGGCAGCGCCCATGCGGGCATCTTTACCGTCAGCCTCAGTCCCAGTGGATCAGCTAGTAAATGCCAATTTCTCTAGCTAATCGAATCAAATATAAAGCTAAAATTCTTAAACTCTTATCCTTTGCAGAACGTTTCTTGTACTTTCACACACTGAACAGTTTCTTTGAGATTGCGATACCGCTGCAAGTGGTGAACAACGCGAGTATTTGGAATAGGAAATCAAAGGATGAAGCCGGGAAACACTTTCGCATTGTGGGCACGCGAGGAACTCAATGCGAATCGGAGGTGATGGATAGCGAGGGTAATCTCTATTGTAGTCTGATCAGTCTGGGCGCCTTGATTAGTTGGAGCGAGCTATCGAACTATACGGCAAATGATATACGTGCCGTGGCCTACAATCCGCAACAATTGAAATTCGTCACGGGGCTGAAGATCAATCGAAACTCGAAGGGAGAGAATGAAATTTGGGCTCTGAGTAGTGAGCCAAATTTGTTTGTTGGCGGCTCCTTGAAGGAGAACGAGATCAAGTTTCAGATTATTGGCTGTCGTACAGCTGACTTGCTGGCCAATACACCGTGTACGGTGGGCGCAATGGAAAAACATAATTAACTTTAAATATTAATTCTAGTTTGAAAATCTCATATTTTGTAAGAATTAAGCAACTTTTGAAATGTAACGAGATTTGATAACGCGCCCAAGCTGATTGCCATGACACGCTGTGTTAGTTTAGTCAGCTGATTTGCACGGAAAAGATAATCGAAAGGAGAATTAATCGAATTATCGGCCATCCCTAGGCCGGCGTCTTGTTTACGTGTTGCATCAATAAAAAAATCTTTATTTTCATAGTCTATTTTAATCAGTTGCAAATGTTAATCATGACAAATCTACAACGTTGGTTATTCTATGCAACACTCTTTGCCGTGCCCTACTTGGCAATTGTGCTAGGAACGGTGCAAACAGCTCTGACATCAAAATACTTGCTGCATATTCAATTGCTACCGCTGTTGCTCTTAATTTTATTTGGTGTAAGTAATTAGTAAAATAATGAAATATAAATCATGTATTATATGTATTCAATAGATTTATTCCGTCTGGACTGTATTATATCGTACATTCACATTTAACGACTGCCCCGAGGCTGCAAAGGAATTGCAAGAGGAAATATTGGAAGCTCGCAAGGATCTCATAGCCAAGGGATTCAAGTTTCGTGACTGAAAAAGGTGTTTTTAGGCACAGAGTTTCTCTTTATGTACATACTTAAATAACATATATTTTAATTTGTGATTCCATGTAATATAAAAAGAAAAGTGTTATTCCAAACAAGACAAGTGCACGCTTGGGATTTGTGTTGAGGTGTAAAGTTGTTTAACTTTAGTACTCCCAATTCCCAACACTAATTTAATTAAGCGCTACATGATCCAATTCACCCATTACTCCAGAGAGAGTGACGCTCTTAAAGCTATACTTTAACATGAGCCGCACTTTTAAATTCTAATATGACTGCGCTATGCTTAGCAGACTGCTGATCGCTTGGAATATGCATGCAGTGTAAAGGTTTCTTTGAGCACCAGCCCAGCCCAATTTACGTATGCATGTCACAGTGCGGCTCTCTGACTGGAAAATGGCTGGAGCTGCTGCTGTCGAAATAAACACAAAGCTGACTGTATGAATAAACAGTTCGCGCTTAGACGTCAGCACGTTCACATCAGCTTGCGCTTGATTCAAAGTATAAGCAAAGCATAAGAGAATCGAAAAAAAGAAACAAAAAAATCAAATCATGAGTCACAAGTTGGTTTTGTTGGCTTGCCTGGCCGTCACCGTTTGCAGCGCTGCTAAGGTAAGTCTTGCATAATAAGAGCCTTAAGTCAAGCCAAATTCAAATGCGAGTAAAATTTGCGATGATATGGTCGAAAAATCAATGCTTAGAATCACGAGTGTTGCCTAATTAATTGTTGTTCAGTGCTGTGGGTCAGGGCCGGCAAAGTAAAACGAAGAGAAACAAAAATGGGAAAATGGTAAGAAGAAGTACAGCAACAAGTGGCGCGCCCCATAAAATGAGTTGAATGAACCGTAATGTTGAAATGTTTGAAAATGAAGCAAGTGGAAATTATTTCTTATATGTATAATATATGTGTGTGCATAATTAATTGAATAAATTAATTTCTCTCTGTTTGCTTTTGCTGCGATCTCAGTTTGTATTTTTGTTTTGAGACCGAAAACCTGTTTTTTATGCCGACCAGTTTCTATTTCATTGTGTTTTCGATGCATACGGGAACCGGTGCCAGCCACCGGCGGTCGCTCTTGGAAGCCCCTTCCAGTTTACACAACCAGTTGGTATTGCTGCTACTGCTGCTGTTTTTATAGCTCGATAAAATGGAACTTTTGACTTTTTGTTCTTCCACATCACAAAAGCGATGGGAGCTTAAACTGAGCAAGAGAAACAGAAAGAATAATAAGCAAATTATGTACATGCATACAAACATACACATGTATATGTATATGAACTTTGTTAGCTGAGAACAAATACAGGCAAACACATCCATAATAATAGGTAGTAATTCGAGTTGGCATACAACAATATAATAAATAAATAAATGATAATTATCTATTGCGCATCACTTGTGCGTTTAGTCACGAGAATTTGTAATTTTGTAAACGTAATTTTGGCCAATGTTTTTAGTAAATTTGCGATATTTTGATTAGGGTAAATTGCAAAAACCTAAATTGCTTAAGGCAGATAAACATTCAAAACAAAACTATTAATTTTCATGTGCATTCATTCATATATAATTTATTACAATTTGTTTAAGCATCTGTACACGTGCTGTGTAGATAAAGAAACACATTGTTAAATACATTTCACTTTTTTTAAATAAGCTGAGAACGCCAAATTGCAAACTGAGTAAACAGAAAAATCGCTGAAAAGTGTAGATTTCTACGTTTATTTAAATTTAAAATGTGGAAAAAACCCGATTTTTTCTATGTTACTTTTCGGTCGCGTCTCCAAAATTGATCACCGCTAATGCGATTGGAAAGTGAGAAGCGCTTGGAAAAGCTTTTAGTTGGAAATGAAAGCTAAATATTTAATTTACTAAAGTAAATGAACGAAAAACAATCTTTAGTTTGTCATAGTTTGCTTGAAATATGCAAATGATGTGGTTCACTTTCGCACACTGTTCATAATTGACTTTTTGACATTGAACAATGATTTTTCAATTTCTGGTCTACTGAGACAGGGATAGAATTGAATTTTAGGTTGCGTCCATTCAACCGAAACTGTTTTGCATGTGCTGTAAAAATGCAAATGGCAACACATGCTGAAGAATGAATGCATTATACTATAAAAGCCCCAGCTATTCCTCTACCACTGCCCCTGTTTGTGTCACTTCAATGTAAAACTTATTGACTGACCTGCATTGTTTTGTTGTTGTTATTGTTTCACCAGGTGCCTATTGCCATTTACTATGAGTCCCTGTGCCCGGACAGCGCCAAGTTTATTACGGAGCAACTGTATCCGGCTATGCAGACCGAGCTGCGCGAATCTGTCGAACTCACATTTGTGCCCTTTGGCAAATCCCAGGTGAGTTGAACAGCAAACACAATGCCTCATTTGTCTAAAATATGCATTTACACGCACTGCATGCTTTATTCAGTTTGTCACACAAGGCGCCGAAACAATGTTCACCTGTCATCATGGGCCGAATGAGTGCTATGGCAACCGGGTGCATAACTGCGCCATCGAGCACATCCAGGCCAACTCGTACCAGATCGAATATACACGCGAGTCGCTTACGCTTAACTTTATCAACTGCCTGATGAAGGCGGGCAAGAATTTCCCGGATAATGTGTATCCGGGACAGCGTTGCGCCACCGAGAATCACATCAATAATTGGGAGAATATCAAGATGTGTGCCAACTCCACCGATGGCAGTAATCTGCTGAAGAAGGCTGGCGAAACCACCCAGAGGCTAAAGGAACCGCTGACCAGTGTGCCCACCATTCTGTTCAATGAGGTGAGCAAAATAACCCTTCAACTCATACTTTCATACTTGTTGCTTATGCTTCATCCTTCTTCCCAGCAATTCGACAAGGATGTCAACCAGCGCGTCCAGGTTAACTTCCTCGGCACCCTCTGCAAGTATGTTTCGGCGCCCCAACCACGCATCTGTTCCGAGCATAACGGCGCATCGGGTCTGGTTGGTGCCGGCAGTGCCCTTTTGGGCTCCCTGCTGGGTCTGTGGTTCCTGCGCTACCTTTACTAAGTGGGCTAAGTGGCTAAGCCTTAAATGTTACATTTATAATTGCATTATTCTGCAGTCACTTTGAATCTCTACAATTTGTATATTGCCCTTTCCGATCCATCTGAAACTCAAACCGTCCAATACTATCTCAAGTAAGCAGCAGATATGCATGAGCAGCAATAAAAATAGAGATCTAAAGTTAATTTCGTAATTATGTGTAAATATAGAAATATTTCTTTCAGAAACGGAACATGTTGTCATGTTCCCAGTTTAGCGCGTAAAAATGCAAGACAAGCTAAGTTGCACCTACCTATATAGTAGGTAGTTGAAAAGTTGATAGGGCTTATATATATATATATATATATAGTGGGAGCAACTATTTGATGTCAAATATTTTGATCTGTGCTCGGGGCAGCAACAGCTGCTTATCGACGTAATTTTTCTTGATGCGATAAGCTGCCGCTTTAGCAACAATTGGAAATAATTGTTGTAAACAAGTCATCAATTTGTGCAATCTGCTCAATTTTGTTGTTTCCTTTTGTTTTTCTTCTTGTATTTTAGACTCAAAAATTGCAACTGTGAATCAAAGACTTTAAATTCAATTAATTCATATTTATTCACTTTCATATATTGAAAATCTGGGGGAAAAGAAGATGTGCCTATTGCCCATGGCAAGGGGGAAACACAGAATAACATACGTCAGCAGAATTTCATTCATTAAATCATATCTTTTCACATGACGCATTAATGACCCAAACTGCAAATCAAATAAATTCGGGCGCGTTGTCAATTCTGACAATCCAGAAGCGAGCCAGCAACAGTTTACCACGAGCAATGGCAATGGGTTTGTGCTTGGGCTTGGAGCCTGGAGCGGCAAGGAGCAGCCAAGGTTCAAAGAGAATGCCTTAGTCGTAGTTTTGGGCTAAATGCGTTTGCCGTTTGCCGTTTTCTTTTTTTTCTTCTTGCGGCCAGTCCAAATGCTGCAGCACCTACGCAAAACTAAAGGCCAGATCAAAAACCATTGCATACAACCAGGCGAAGACTTCGTGTTTGTCTCATTCGGCTCAGCGCTCGCTTCTGATTGGCTGTTGTACATTCACAATGACACCCACACACACGAACCGAACCGGTCGTCCTGCAATATAAGGCTGGCTACTCTGCTTCCAACGGCATCACACAACTTTTGGCTTTCAGTCGAGCGACACCAACACCGAACGCGCAAGCAGGCTCAACTCTTGTTAACAATTTTGTGTGTTGTAAGTGAAAGTGGCAGCAAAAAGTACACATTTAAAAATATAACAAAGGGTGTCCTTAATTTATGTTAACAACATAAACTAGTGCAAATCACATATTTATACTCATTACAAAAATCTACGCACAAATTGGTAAGTAACAATTTCAATATTTTTCCTAATCAGCAAAACTCACAACATTAATCACATCGTTTTGTTTGCTGGCTTAGAGAGGCATGGCACCCTCTCTCTAATGCTCAAATATTGTTGTTGGCCTCAGGTCATAATTTGTGCACTTGTTTATTTGCTTAAATTAATTGAGTTAAATTAGATTACTGGTCATTGACTGTTTGACTTGTTATCATTGCGAAGTGCTTGAATTTGCCATGCGCTTGCTTTGATTCATTTTTAATAAGCCGCCAAGGGGTGCACTTGCCAGCATCTTGAAAGTTGTTAGCTTGGCTCTCATTTGCTTAACGGCAAATTAAGTTAAAAGTCAACAACTTTAGTGAGCCAGCTGTATAAATCTGGCATATTTCGCTCAGTTTGTGTTCTGAACTTGGCCCTATTAACTAGACTGAAGACGTTTACTGGGAAAACTTGCATATTTGTATTCCGTGTTGTTTTTTTTTTTAAATTAAGCTAAAAGCAGGTATGTGAATAAGGAAAACTATATATAAAACATATATTCTGGATTAAGGGCTAATTCTATTAGGATTTAAGAGTAAGAAAAACGTAATTGACTTTTATTTCATTTGAGTTTTAAAACTTGAATCGATAAAAAGAAAACAATTGCATCTTTTTAAGACTTAGTTTAGCAAGCTAACTAATAAGTTAAGTTAAGTAATAATAACTAACTGAACTAATAATAGCCGACACAGTAAAATACAAAAATTAAATTGAATATATACATTTATTTTATTAGAAACAGAAATAATATAAAAAATGTCAGCTTGTTTTTAATTATAAAATTGCTCCATGGGCTGGGAAAAATCCCGAAAACTATCCCATCACCCATCATATGAGTTTTATAATTAAATTAATATTGAAGTAGTTAGGAAAACCATTAACGGTATTTGGAAATTTCTAAAATTAGTTATTGTTTACTAGAGTCAATTACAGTCCGCACAAATTTTAATATTAGCTTTAGATTGGAGATTATAAGACAAGAAGAATTTTAAAATGATAAACAGACAGAGCTGTCTGGTTTTTATGCTAACTTAAATTGTAAATCCGTCTTGATTAAACTTAGCATAAACTTATTTTAGCAGCAGTCAATATCAAATAGGTCAGTTTCTTAAATTAATAATTTATTTAATGAAAGAATACGCAATCCTTAGTGTTACCCAGATAACTGTTATTTCTTGTTTTCACATTAAGCTCGGTAACATGAGGAAACATTATAGTATAATTTTATAATATAATAAAATAAATTCTGAAAACTAGAAAGTGTTATATACGAAAAAAATTCTACAATTAGAATAATAATAGAACATATTTCTGGATACTAGAAATATAAACCTTTAATTCCTTAATCGCTTAATTAATTAAAATCTTTCCAAAAAATATTATGAAACTAGATCTCCCTAATAATATGTTAAAGTTTAGCGACTGGTTGCTCTAAAGGACGATTAGCTCTTTGTAAAGTTGCTCAACCTGCGAATGTCTTAAATTATTTTTTAAGAAATATACTTTCTGAATAATAAGTTGACTTAACCTTGTATTCCAAAAGTATGGCGAATTTCTGAAATTCGGGACTATTTTTGTCTGGGGTGACTTAAGTTGCCGCATAAGCAACTTACAACTTTTAAAAACTGCGCGGCTATTATTATTGATATATGTGGCAAATATATATATATATATATATATATATATACATATTGGTGTTATCAGCTAGCTGCTGATTACAAAATTTTCACACGAAAACGCACAGAGAGAGAGAAAGAGAGGTTGTTATGGCAGATGTTGTTCGATTAGCATTAGGCAAGGGGTAAAGGGTAAGGGGAAAGGGGAATGGGTTATCAGAAAGCGCTGCACCTGTGGAAAATTTTTCGAAATTGATTTATGTGGGACAGAAGCCGCGAGAAAACAGATATATTGAGTTATGAGCAGTGGCAGCGGCAGCTCATTAAATCGTTATTAGTTGACAGTATATATTGACTATAAGCAATACTCTTTGCTGGGAAAATTGATAAGCCTCTGGCAGCATTGATTAACAATGTAATGTGACAATAATATTATTGTTTTTGCAGCGTGTGGTGTAGGTGTGGGTATTGTTGATTTATATTGCACAGGCCGAGCCACTTATCTCCTTGTGTCTGTACATGTTTGGTTCGGCTATCAACTGAAAATAAACTCCATAGCCAACGGAGCTTAACAGTTCTGGGCCTATTTATAACAAAGTCTGAGGCGTCACCAATTTACTTGGCATGAGCCAGAGTCTGGAGTCTGCGAATGTGAAGCGTGACACGATTTCAGTTGCGATTACGGCGCTGTCGCTATTTAATTGTAGCTTATCAGCAGCCAAGTCGTGTCATGGAGCCGAGCTGCCCGGACTTTGCCGATCCGCCGATCAGTCGCCGGGCAGCAGTTGAAAATGTGAAATCGTGGACCAAAATTCGTTTGGCTCCCTTTGGCATTGTTGGTGTGGCCGTTGTTGTCAAAAAATAGGATATATACACATACATATATAAAATAGAAAATTCCAAATATATACCAACACTATCTGTGATTACAAACGTACAAAGTTCCCCAAAAAATATATACACAATTCTATATAAAAGCTATTTAAAATAAAATATTAATTATTGAGCTTTGCTGATAAACAAATACTATATAAAGTGTTATTTTGTTGTTGTTGTTATGCTTTGTTGCTGTTTTACATAAGTCAGCGAAAATATACCTATCAACCAATCAGCTCGAACTGAGGTAAGTTTGGCAGGCGTTAGTACTAGTGCACTGCAGTCAGAGTTAGTCACACGACCAGGTTTGTTTCAAATAATACCCGGGACACGCGTCGTATGATTGATGTAAATGAAATACTGAAAAAGCGCAGCTTGCTAAGTGTTCTAATATATACATATATATGTGCATATATACTTATAGGTAGATGTAAATAAATGTTTGCTTGGTCAAATCAAATGATTTACCGTTTATCCTAAGATATTCATCTGTGAAATATCCGATTAAGAAATTCAAAGCACGTAATAAACAAACATTCGTTTAAGTTGAGCGCTTGCCACTTTGGACACAAGCACACACACACAAGCACACAAGCACACACACACAAGCACACACACACAAGCATACACACACACACACTCACACACACACACACACACACACACACGCCCACACACTAATTGCCTACATGTGATGGTTGGAACATAAATCAAAGTTCAAAACTTTTGCCGCTCCGGATTAGTTAACTAAATGCATATGTGACTGGTGATTGGTTGTGTGCCATGATTTTCTAATTAGTGTGGCATATCTGCAGGCGCAGCACATTGTTGTGCCCTCAACAGGTGCACACACATACACACCCACACAATCAAACACACACCAAATATGTACTTACTTTAATTGACATTACTTTCTGTCTTCTATCTCTTTGCAGTTAATATGAAATCCACAATTTCGCTGCTGGTTGTCATCTGCACCGTTGTGTTGGCCGCCCAACAGAGCCAGGCCAAAAGTGAGTAGTTTCATTCATATTCATGTTCATTATTCATTGAATGAATAGAATATAGAGAATATGAGCTCTCTCTCTCATATTCTATTGAATATTTTACGCCACTTAAGTTGTGTTTTCGCCCCAATCCATTCAATTTAAGCGCAAAACAACAAACCTATAAATGGCTGACAAGTGGCAGACACACTCACACACACAAACACAGACACATATACACCACCTGTATGCACCGTTATGTCAGCAGCATCAATTGTTACAGTTCAACTTTAACGCAAAACAAACAAGCTTCGACCTGAGGTCGACGTTGCCATTGACATTGCTCCTTTGTTGCATTGTTTATGCAGCTGCATCGTCCCATCAAATGTGTGGCATCTTCCTCCTTGCTGCATGTATGCAGTGTTATCTTCTGAACTGCCTTTCTTTTGAAGCGCATACAAAGTGACTCACGCGTAATTGGGGAGCATTAAAACTGGCATAACGATGTAGTGCATTTGTTTGTAACAGGCATAGCCAAGCATGTACAACCCCATCAAATACATATATTATTGGTCAGGAAGAACAGCCGAGTTGTCTGAATAAACAAGCGGATCTCAGCGACTATTAAAGTTGAATGCAAGTTCTCATACATCCCGCACAGATCAAGCTCTTTTCAGAATGTCTATAACGGCCCATTGTTCGAGATCATCGATTGAAATCGATTTCGGATAGCAAAAAAAAGTGACAACTTTAAAAGCAGAGCCTTCCAAATAATATATTATTATTCCTGACAAATTATTAAACATCTATGAAAATTTCATTAACTTTGGATAAGAAAAAACCAAAATATATTCATATTATATACATATTGATACTCATACTAGACTCATCGGTTCCATGCGCTGTCAATAGGCCAATGAAATGATAACACTTCCACACCTGCTTTGAGTGTGGAAATGTATTAAATTTGGAAATTTAGCAATTAGGCTGTAATTATGCATTTAACAACTGACTTCTGAGTATCTCGTAGTCGAGCTCACTCTATGCTACATCAGTCTTACTTGTTTTTTCATAATTTGATGGCACAGCAAGACATGGGCGTAGTTTCCGTATGCCAACAAATGTTACATTGTTAAACAAATTTTTTGAACGCCTTAAGCAATAAACCAATTTAAAAATGTTTCTTAATGTCAGCCATAGATTTGGAAAGTGTGTTAACATTGAGTGCGTATGCTCCCAAAGCACGGGCAAATCCCAAGTGGGTTTAGTATGTTTTAGCTAACTGATGCCTTAATATAATTTTGTATGCGAGCGGAAGCCCAGAAATAGCATCTACTCAGCAGTTAACAAAAAACAAACACACAACAGAAAAAAATGGAAAAAATAAAAAAAAAATGGGGGAGCCAAACAACATTTTACAGTTGCTTTTGTCACGCAGGTCAAATGCTTATCAAAAGATGTCTCTCCAGAGCATTGGCAAGCGATTAAAGATTTCGAGTCTCTGCCAAATGTTTGTCCTCATATACACATTATGTTTACATATAATGGCATCAAGTTTGAATCTTGTGCACTGGGGAATCCACACGCATTGACTTTGAAAACTTTTTCAGCCAAACCTAGCCAAAGCTAATAACGTGTGTGTGAGTGTATGTGTGGGTGTGTGTTTGTGTGCGTGTGTGTGGGTGTAATATCGATTAAAGTTGTTGCCTGTAGCATTTGCAATTTATAGCTAATATCGTTGCTGCCTAAATTCATTTGGCCAATTATTGCACTTTGCATTTTACAGAGGGCTGCCAGGCTTATGGACACGTCTGTTACGGCGGACATGGGAAACGCTCCTTGGACGCTGGTAACGGAGTAGGTGCTGGCAATGCGGCTGCGGCCAATGCCGCCGGCCTTGACCAGGAGTTTGTACGTCCAAACGGCCTCTTACCGATGTTGTTACCCAACGAACAGGCCGTTGTGCCCGACCAGGGATTCGATGAGTATCCGTCGCGTCAGGTACTCTACAAAATAATGAAATCGTGGGTAAGTCACAAAGCTGCATATTATCATTTATATTTACATATATACTCATTATGCCATATTTGTTTCTTGTAAACTTTTCAGTTTAATCGTCCGCATCAACCCTCCCCTCGTCTGAGTGATTTGGATTACCCGCTCTCGAGTTCCGGTGAAACTTTCAATCGCGATGGCACTCTGAATGCTCTCAATTAAGTGCGTAATCTAACACGGAGCATCAACTAAAGCAACAACAATTTGAACCAAAACGAAACACTTTCTTCAGCATCATCAACAACAACCACAACAAGAACACTAAAAAGCACATTATCAATTTCTAAATGAATGTTAATTAAATTGTTTCATAGGTGTCTACAAATAGAGCAACAAATTTTTGCTATTTGCATAATCTGCGAATGTTTAATAACAAAAACTAAACTGAAGTTTTTAAGGGCTGGTAAAAATTTCAGTGTAAAAAAAAAACTGACAAAATATTTTCAATAAAATAAAATGAAAATGCAATGGCATTGTGTTATTTTGATTGATTTTATTCAAAATGTTAACCTATATATGAGTTTTGTGTGAAACAACTGCAAAAGACTATATACATACATACATACATACATATGCAAAATTACTTGTACCTATTTAATTTCAAAATACCCTAGAAAAAGTCTAATTATTCTAAATATATCATTAATTTTAAATGCAACTAAAACTTAAATTATCTCAAGGGCTTTTATTGTATATATATATACGTATATATTACGTTTTTGGGTTATTAAATAAAATCAAAGTCAAATTTACAAACGTGCGATTAATTATTGTGAAGTATGTTTTTCGACAGTTCAGCATTTAAATACAATTTTTGAGGACAAGCGCTCAAATATTCGTTTTCGATATGTCGATTGCGCTGATGTATCGATAACTCAGACTAATCGATTATCCTAACAGAGATGTATTGTGTTAAAATTGAAAACATCAGAAGTTAGAATTGATATTTAAAGGTAATTGTGACTGTAGCATTAAATTTAGTTTTATTTATTATATATATATTTTTTATACTTTATAGTTTAAGCAGCGAAGCTTACGATTTTTCAACATCAGGAAATTAATTTAAAGTTAACACACCTACAGTTTTGAGAGCACTGCTCTGCTATTTAACATTGTTAACAGTCGCATTTGAGTCGCATTTGTTAACATTGGAGTTGAATACACGTGCTTCGCTGGTAAACATGAAAATCAAAGTCAACGTTTATTAAAATATACAAAGCGAAGACGATTATACACAAAAATATGACACATCTAAAGGAAGAGGACACCTCGGCCGTGGCGGATGAGCAAGAGGCGCGTGGCGTCATCAAGGAGAGTAGCCAAATATTTCGTCGCAATCGCGCCTTGGGCTACGTGAGCAACCAGGTGCCGGCAGTGACTCGATATGTGCAGCGACGTCGAGACACCCTGCTGATCACCTGCATTGGACGCTCTTTTCAGGTGTACACCGCTAGCCACTTTCGTCTGTTGCATGTGAGTGGCCTGCATCCGGACGATATTACGGCCATGGCCACCGATAGACTCCACACTTATACGGCCAGCAATAAATGTATCTATGCATGGCGCGCCGGCAAACACATCCGGCATGTGTATCGTGGCCATGAGCGAGATGTCCATCTGCTTCTGCCTTTTGGCCGTAGTTTGATTGCTGTTGATCATAGCAATGTGCTGAAAGTGTGGAACATTCCCACCGACGATGTATATCTGGATGTGCCCTTCAAGAGTGATGAGTTCCGAATCACAGCGCTTGCTCATCCGCCCACGTACGTGAATAAGATTGTGTTGGGCTCGCAGCAGGGTCAGCTGAAGATCATGAACATTAAGAAGAACAGCATCGTGTGCACACTCAGTCATCACGATTGTGGTATCACGTGCATCGAACCTGCGCCGGCATTGGATGTGGTGGCCATCGGACATGCCGATGGCACCATCATTGTCCTCAATCTGAAATACGATACAGTGCTGGTGGCCTTCAAGCAGGAGTGGGGCCTGGTCACCGGCTTGACATTTCGCACCGATGGACCTCCGATTTTGGTGTCGGCTTGTAGGAATGGTTACATGGCCTTCTGGAATCTGGAGGAGCATAAGCTGGCCGGTCAACTGCAGGCGCATGAGGAGCAAGTGGCCACCGCCATTTGCCTGCCCAGTGAACCGGTCGTCTTCACCACATCTCCCGACAACTCCATGAAACTCTTCGTCTTCGATATGCCGGATGGTGGAGCACGTCAGCTCCGCATACGCGAGGGTCACACAAAACCACCGCTTTGTATTCGCTATCACGGCGGCTCTGGCGTGTCCATACTCTCATCCGGCGAGGATAGCACGCTGCGCGTCTTCTCCACCATCTCGGAGTCGCTAAACAAAAGCATGGGCCGAGCCACCTATAATCAAAAGGCGACCAAGAAGAAAAGTGAGCATCTTTAAACAAGAGCTCTTCTTTTATTGTTGTATTCAAACATATTCTTCATTTGCAGATCGTTTCCAGTACGACAAGTATGGCATGCCGCCAATTGTGGAGTTCACATCCGATGTGGCACGCGAGAAGGAGTGGGACAACATAGCCGCCATACATTCGGGCATTATACAGACCACAACGTGGACGTTCAACAAAAATCGCATGGGCGAACATCGGCTGGTGCCGACACAGTTTCAAAACAAGCAACGCAGCAATTTCCAGTGCGAGACGACGTGCATCATATTGACGCATTGCGGCAACTTTGTCATCATTGGCTACAGCAGTGGCGATGTAGAACGCTTCAACATTCAGTCCGGCCTGCATCGCTGCAGCTACGGTGCCCCAAAAGCGGCCCATGAATCGGCCGTCCGTGGCTTGGCCAGCGATAATCTGAATCAATATGTGGTCACTGGTTGCTCCAGCGGACTGGTCAAGTTCTGGACGTTCAAAGGCAAGAGTAAGTAGATGCATATCCTAGTCAAGTCAGTCCATTATCACATTTGCCCCATTCGACAGCTGAAAGGCCAATTGCCGTGCTGCGTCTGGCAGATGGCGTCGCTCTGATGCGGCATCATCGGGAGAGCGCCATGCTGGCCATTGGCCTAGACACCTTTAAGGTCTATGTGGTGGACATGGCCACACGGGTGGTTGTGCGCAAGTTCATTGGACATACGGCGAAGCTGAACGATCTGGCCTTCAGTCCGGACAGCCGTTGGCTCATCACAGCGGCGATGGACTCGACAATTAAGGTGTGGGACATACCCTCCTCCTACATGATCGATCATTTCCGCGTGGAGCGTCCCTGTATCTCGCTGAGTATGTCGCCAAGCGGTGATTTTCTCGCCACTGCCCATGTAAATCTGTTGGGTATTTATCTCTGGTCAAATAAGACGCTCTTCAGCCAGATCTCGTTGCGTTCCATGGATCCACACGAGCCCGCACCGTATGTGGGTCTGCCGGCAAATGTTTGCGATGCAATGGAACTGGAGGATGCCATGCAAGAGCTGGGCATTGACAGCAGCAATGAGCAGAATGCTGAACTGGGCGAGGAGATCAATGCCAAATACGAAACGCCTAAGCAACTAGCACCCGAGCTGATTACGCTATCGGGTCTGGCTGCGTCACGCTGGCAAAATCTGCTGGATCTGCAGCTGATCAAGCAGCGCAACAAGCCCAAGGCACCACCAAAGGTACCCAAACAGGCGCCCTTCTTTCTGCCAACGGTATCCGGTCTGGAGTTGCGCTTCGATGTGGCCAATGGTGCGCCCAGCGCCACGGATGGTTCCCGCATCCAGCAAGTGTCTGCCCTTAACAATCTGACTGCCTTTGGCAAGCTGCTGGAAACGACAGCCACAAGTAATGACTTTGATGCCGCTTGCAAGCACATCACCCAACTTGGACCGTCGATGGTGGACTTTGAGATCAAGTCACTGCATCCAGAAGCCGGCGGCACTCTGCTCGCAATGCTGCAGTTTCTTAAACTGATCGAGTTTATGTTCAGCACAAATCTCGACTTTGAGCTGGCCCAATCCTATCTAAGCGTCTATCTCCGCTCCCATGGCCTTAGTCTAAGCGAATCACCAGAGATTGTCCAATCCCTGCGCAGTGTCTCCCAGGCGCAACAGTTGGCCTGGGAGCGTGTCGAAAGCAAACTGATTTATGGCATTGGCGTCGTCTCCGCACTGCGAAACTTTGCTCGCTAAATTTGTATAACTGTAGCCGCTTTTTACATGTTTGTAAATAAATTGACATCATATTTAAATAACTTTTTTTAAGTGTTTCTTTATAATGAATTGAATGAATGAATAATTAAATGTTGTCCAATTTTACAGACGAGCTAATGATCCATTTAGAAAACCTGTACTAGATCCTTATACTACACAAATTTCACTAACTTGACACAATTTAAATTTCCAGAAATTAGATTCGTGATTAAATAGCTTCCTCAATAATGAAGATCGGTATATACGACTATAACTATTACTGCTAAAATACAAAAAATCGAAGCGTAACTAATTTTAAGCGATTTTCGTCAAATAAAAAACTATGACTAGTCTTAGAAGACTTTAATTATAATCATATTAAGATCGCACCCCAAGATCGAAGTTTTCATTTTATTTATAAATATTATTATTGTTCAAATAGAAACCTAATTGCAAGATCGAATTTCTGAGCGACTTTCCTTTATGTCGAAGAAAATATCGAACATAACTAATAATTGTTACTCACAAATTTAAAAATCAACCCCAAGAGTCACGAGTTCTTGCTTTTGAACAATTTTCCTATAGATTGCAAAAAAAAATATACGACCATAAGTATTATTATAGTCCTATTAAAATCCCCCCCAATATCCGAGAAGTTATTGTTCTTGAGCAACTTTCCCTAATATTGATGGGCAAATTAACTATTTTTTAGTCCTACCAAAATAAACTCCTAAGAAAAAATAACTATGGTTTTTCAGTGCCTATATATATGTATATACATATGATATATACATATCAAGCGATTTGAAAGTATTATTTGAAATTTTGTATGTATATATATTTTTAGACAACTATATACTATTGTTGTATACATTGTGTGAAGTTATAATCTGTATGATCATACATACAGAATAGCTGGAGTATACGTACATATTAACAAATTGTTAAATAATTCATCCCCCTTAATGCGAAGTGAGTGTGTATGTGTGTGTGTATAAGACAAATGTAATTTGAAGTTGTGTATTATTATTTTATTTGTTATATCCGTTTTAAACTAACGCTTTTATTTATTTAGGCTGGAATTAAATAACTTAAACTTGTTCCTAGACGCGTTCTCGCTCGCGGACATTTCAATTATGCGGTTCTAGTGGCAACTGATTTAAACATTTTCAAACGGGGAAGGGTTGGTTTTCCCCTCCTCTCCACCATTGGTAAAACTCTTCCAACTTAACATAAACCGGAATAAACAATGTACTTATGTAGTTGTTTTTTTTGTATGAACCACGCGTTAAAAATGTAGTGCATATTTTGATAAGTATTATTTTGTATATACCTAAAATATTCTTAGTTTGCATATCTCGTGATCTGAAAAGCAGCTCCGATCGAAAGCCGTATAACTTTAAATTTGCATTCTCATATCAATCATGATACGATCTTTGTTGTGTGTGTTGGTTTTTCTTCTTCGTTTGTGAGTGTCTGTGTGCTAACAAAGTTCTTGTTTCGGGAGCTATTATTTTAAGATGCAGTGTGTGTGTGTTTCTAGACTGATTTGATTTAGGTTACAATATTATTATGCAGAGCGAGCGGACCCACTACAAATATCGTCGCATGGGTTGCTTTTGGTTGGTTGTAGTTGTAGTTGTTGGGTTGCTTTTTGTTTCTTGGTTGTGGTAGATTATTATAGTTGTTGCTGCTGTTTTGTTGTTGTTAAGTTTAGTAGTCCGCTTAACTAGATGTGCATTGCTGAACGCGCGGTCCATCCGAGAAACCACCCTCGTCCTCATCGTACGCCATTCGCTGGTGTTGCTGGCGTCGCTGCTTGGGATCATAGTCCTCCTGCAAAAGCGAGACACATTCGAATTAAAGATTGATTGCTTTGGATGATGAATGTTGACTTACCAAAACGGTGGACTCCGCATCAATTGGAATGTCAATCTCTGGCACCGGTGGCAGGCACTGCTTGAGCGTCGGTATAACTGATGGATTGATTACATCGGGGAAAATAACCTCAAACTGTATGATAAGTGTACCCTTCTCCATGGGATTCTTGAATATGGGCATGCCCTCATCGGCGATGCTCTTGGTCATCTCGTGCCGTATAACTTCGCCGGGCTGTGTGGACACCAGCAGATCGCGATCATCCATTGTCTTGACAATGCGCTGGAATCCGCACAGCGCCTCTACCAGCTGCAATGGCATCTTCATCATCAGATCCATGCCGGCGTGCACGAACGTCGAGTGCTCCTTTTCGTCCAACAATATGATGATATCACCCGGTTGAGATTCAGGCTCATGATCGCCCTCGCCCGTAAATACTATCTTTTGGCCATCCCGCATGCCCTTCTCGATGTGAACCTCGAGAACCTTACGCTCGCGCACCGTCTTCCGTCCGTTGCAGTTCTTGCAACGGTCCTTGTCCTGTATGGTCTCACCGGTGCCGGAACATTTTCGGCACACCTGCTCGATGTGTTGCACGATGCCGGGCGCAATTTGTTGGATGCGCGTCTCGACGCCATTGCCACGGCACTGGACACACTTCTCGATGCTGCCCTTCTTGCCGCCGCGTCCCTCACACTTGTCACAGATTACATTCTTCTGCAGCTGCAGCTTGCGGGTTGCCCCATTGTACAGCTCATCCAGCTGCACGGACATCTGATGGACGACATCTTTGCCGCGTCGTTCACGACGACGTCCGCTGCCGCTGCCGCCGCCACCGAAACCGGCACCGAAGAACTTCTCAAAGAAGTCCATCGGATTCCGGAAATCACCGGAATCGGCACCACCCTTCTTGATGGCCGCCTCACCGCCATCGTCGTACACCTGACGCTTGTTCGCATCGGAGAGCACCTCGTACGCTTGCGAGATGGCCTTGAATTTCTCGCCCTCATTGGGATTCTTGTCGGGATGGTATTTGAGTGCCAGTTTTCTGTATGCCTTCTTCAGCTCCTCGGGCGTTGCATTCGGCTTCACGCACAGCAGATCATAGTACCCGGTTTCTTTGACCATCTTTTTCTACTCTTTTTTTTAATTTGTTTTTTAACTGTAACACAAAAATTTCGATTACTAAAAAGTTGTCAATGGCGATATATTTGTAATTGTTTTTTTTTTGTAGTTTAGTTTCACTTAGTTTTATTTTATGTGCATGTGAAAAATGTCATTTCCGGGCATCAGTGCGATAAATTCAAGGTCAGTGGGCAAATAGTGCAACGGAAAAAGACCACGTTTTTTCGAAAGAAAATTTGCTATTTCAATTGGCACTCGCTTTTTTATGTTCGTTTTGTTGAAACACGAATTTCAGCGGCGAGCAGCTGATTATTCTGGCCCGCTCTCGCGCACACTATAACTCATTGGCAACCGAACTGACACACACATGCATACACATATACACACACGTGCCACACATGCACACACACGTACATAAACTTCTAGAAAATTTCGTCAGCTTAACGCAGCCCTGGTCGCCGTAACCGTTGCCCCTGCGCGAAAACCAGCACAAAGCAGACAGCAAGATAATGAGAAAAAAGCACTAATACAATTACAAAATACGGTGGGAAAGCAATGTGCAAAAAAAAAAAAAAGAAAGCAGAGAAAAAAATTGATGTAAAATTTCTATTGATTTATGTGCGATTTGTGCTCGCTGCATGGCCCAGTCTCAATTGTGCAATGTATGTATGTTGTGTATATGTAAAAACATGTGCCGCGCAGGACGCTGCGTCAGAGAAATATTAATGGGTGGAGGGGGTAGACACACAGACAGACACAAAGAAAAATCGGCTACCGTCGCCAACTCAATCGATTTTGCAAAGTGTAACCAGTCTAATGACGCACTATGATGCATCGAACTACTTGGAAAAAAAAAATTAATTATACTTGATTACTTAACAAAGAGTCGAGCAAAAATAGGTACTAAAGACACACACACACACAATGCAAAAATGCCTGCGGGAAATTTGTTAGTCAATTATTTTCTGTAATTGGTCTCACCTTTGATAGCAGAAGTTCGAGGTTATTAGTGTCTATTGAAATAACTATATATATATATGTATATATGTACACTTTTTCGGTACGCTTCTAGGAATTACACTTTTCTAAAATTTGTATATCTATAAATCGAATTCTTTTCAGCAGCCTGCTAATGCTGTGTGAATCCGCCACGCTTGTTGTATGAAAGATCGAGAATATGTGAATTAGTGGTGGGCAATTTGAGAATACCCATTGTATTGAATACTTCATACATACTGCAATCAATCGAAATACACTCCTGTATACAATTTGCGCTCTGAAATGGTCACACTTTTTGGAAACAGCTGCTTATCCCGGCCTGGTTATTTAACTTGGTCGCATGGAAATTTGCTGAACAACGTAAGATTGAATTAAATTTCAGTATGAGGCACGCACAATTTTTGGCACGAACCGTTTTTGTGCATAACAACAATGTGGAGGAGGCATGTCGTCTGCTAAACCGCATTCTCGGCAAGGAGGAAATCTTTGATCAATTCAGACGCACGCGTTTCTACGAGAAACCGTTCCAGGTGCCTAAATAAGTGTTAATGAACAAATTTGAACCATCAATTCAACCACGAATATATTTTACAGGTGCGTCGACGGGTAAATTTTGAAAAGTGCAAAGCCATCTACAACGAGGACATGAATCGGAAAATTCAATTTGTTCTCCGCAAGAATCGCGTGGAACCCTTTCCGGGCTGCAGTTAAATGTAATAGTTAAGAATCAATCCACAATCAACCGTAGATATAGATTCTTAGATTTAGTAACAGAATAAGAACATTCTGAAGTTGCATGGCATTAAAAATAATTTGGAAGGATTTTGTTATTTTTATTTATTTTGGCTCGCATTGTAAGTGAAATTTTTACAAGTGTTGTAATCATAATCCTTGAATGCAGTTCTATAAAGCTGCTCATGATAAATCTACAGCATCTTGTAGAGATTTTGCTTAATTATGGCTATTGTCAATATTTGTGGGTGATTCTATTTAGTTAAAATCCCAAAAAGTATGCAACACGGAGCAGCAACGGCACATTTTGTGCGATACCCAAAAGTATGTAATGACTTTTCGCGAACATATAGATCACAATAATCCAAAAGCCAAAAAGTATTCATTATTTCATACTTATATTAATTTTTCAGCGTATAAGTTTGCTTTTAAATTGTGGAACAAATTCAATACAAAAATAAAAGCTTTCGCACAGCCAGCGTCCTTTTCTTGCCCCATGCTGGCAACATAGGGTTATAGCATTGATTTGGCAGCAGGAGCGAGCTTTTTGTTGCGGCAAACAATTCGCAAAAGCGAAACGATGCTTGGGTCAGAGTCTTGTCTGCTTTCGTGCGGTTAGGACGCTTTTAATTCTATAAACACAGTTCTAAGGTAAAAGTCATAAAAATGCAAATACAAATAATCATTTTGATGTGTCGAAGACAACGTGAATTATATAGTGCAATCAATCAAAAATTATAGCATACTTTTATGCGTTATGGTTTTATTTAAATTTTCACAACCGTTCTAAATGTATTTGTAATTAGTGTATTTGTGTGGGTTCCCATTTACATGTGTGTGTCTGTGTGTGTGTGGGCCTGTATAATGCATTTGCAGCATAATTGGCCAAAGATGTCGCACAGATGACAAAAAAAAACTCGACATTGCGAACTATCTGGGGCTAAAACGTGCCTAAGTGCTCCCAAATGCATCGATAATTCGCTTTTGTGGCCAATCTACTCAATTTGCTGCCAAGGGGCACATGCAACGCTTGTGCTTTGTGTGTTTGTGTTTGAGCAGCTACAGTGGGTGGGGTAATTGGGTGGCTGGGTGGCAGGGTGGCATCAAGTTAATTTCACATCAAAGTTGGCGTGCTCCGTTTCGAGCCAAGTTGTCGTTGAATTTGCCTTCACCTTCTGCCTCTTTGCCGTTGCCTTTTGCTTTGCCTCTGTCTTTGTCCATTGACAAGCCCCAAGCTTGCCACTGCCTCCCGCCTCTCCTTCTTTTCCTTCTCCTGCTCCTACGACTTATTTTCATTCTTGTTGTTTTCGTTGCTGTTTTCGTTGTGCTTTGGTTTCGTTGCTTTACTGCCGCTGTTTTATCGATTTCTTGCGTTATATTTAGAATTATTTATTTGCATTTTGTGTATGTGCGTGTGCACAGTGTGAACTCATTTAAATTGTCCAAAAAATGTGTATTTAATGCACAACTCAATTCATATTTTTCAGCTCCCATTTTCATTTATAATTTGGGTATCTTTTAATGCAGCTTTGGTAATCATCAGATTTTGTATATGGCAATGGGAATAGATATTGATAAGTGTTTTGACTTGTGGGTCAAATTGCTTAGTTGATATCCCCAAAAGTATGCAGCATGAATAAGCAAGTACAGTTATTGCTGTCCATACATATATATGTATATATATATATATATATATATATATATATATATCTGCTATCTGATATCTTCTTAACAAATAGCTTGAAAATACTAACATGATTGGATATTATTATTATTAGAATTTTTATTATTACTATTTTTACTATTGTTATTATTTTAATATTTATTATTATTATAATTCAAACGATTTTTATTATTAGAAGTTTTTGGGTCAGAATTGGAAGTGCTCCAATTGGCGAGCGACTACTGTACTTGTGTAAATATATATATATACATATATATGCATGTATTTACATAAATAGATATAAGTAATGACATTATTTTTGGCAGCTAATAAAATATGTACTGACAAATGTCCTTTTGCAGCTTGCGATTGCGTTATGCTTGTCAATAGATTTGTGGCCATTGTCCTTGTGGCCAGCATCAGCCTTGCCCAAGCCTATCCAGCGCTGCTGCCATATATCTACAGTGAGTAAACTTAAAGACTATACAAATAGCAAATTCGATCAATATGTATTTATATATATATATGTCTAAATAGATCCGTCGAAGCGCAGCGATGCCGTCTTTCCACAAATCGAGGACGATGTGGGCGAGTTGGATCAGCTGCGAAATGAGCAGCCTGTAGTGGGCAAGAGACAGGATGATGGCAGCACTGCCCGCACCACAACCACCACTAAGGAGAGCGTTGAGAAGGTAATCGCATCACCGGAGGACGGCAGCAAGGAGCAGCCAGCTGCTGCCATTCAGCTCGATTTGGAGCGCCAGCTGGAGGTGGCCACACCACTAATGTCCATGTCCACGACGACGACCACTAGTACATCTGCCACAACAACAACAGCGGCCTTCAAGGATGACAGCGAACGCTCCCAGCTGGAGGAGCCCAAGACGGCAGCGAAGCCGGCGTCGGAGCATGGAGCACATGCCAAGGTAAAAGCCACATGCCATAACATAGATCCTGGTACCATAGTTGATGTGTATGTATTGCCCGTTGTTTATTCCTTGTAAACGCCATATGTGTGTCTTTTGAATCAATCCAAGTGTATATCCACGAAACCACCCAAAAACCAACAGGCTTTCTACGGTGCAGCGCGTCTGGCATTTGGCCAAAATCCCGAAGTGTTGCCAACATTGCCCACAACAACCACATCGACAGCTGCGTCCACAACCACAACAACAACAACAACACCATCGACAACAACTACAGCTGCAACACCAGTTGTTGCCACAGAGGCAGTAGTAGCAGCCGGAGCAGCTATCACAGCCGCTGAAAGTGAATCCGAGCCGGTTGAGGATGTGGCAGAGATTGATGCAGAGACTGATGATGAGGCGGGCGCTGCGATTGAGGGGATGCCGGACAAATTGCCAACGGCTAATCAGAATAAGCATGGCGATATCAACAAGGAGACCATCGGCGACATTCTGATCGATCAGCTTGAGGCGGTGGCCAAGACCACAGAGCGGCGCTCCAGCATGCCCCATTTGACGGCCAAGGTTCTTATGACACAACAACAACACAGTTCAGACAAAATCATCATTTCAACTATTGGCAACAGACATTGGCAACAACTCGAAAACTAAACTAAATTTATGTATTATTCTATTCCACAACAAGATTTGGTTTGCCCCTTTTGTGATTGCTATTTGTCCTAATGTGCATTCACTTTCACTCACTCTTCTCCATAAATGTATAAATATATGTTTCAGACCGCTCAGAGTCTACTGCGTAATCCCAGTGGCCAGTATTCGTCCTTCGATATGGCTCAGTATGTGTTCTGGACTGGCGATGAGACGGGTGTGGCCCGAGCTGTTGAGGAACTGATCGATGAGAACTTGGTGCGATTTAATCATCAATATATTTGTGCATATTTGTGTAATACTCGTTGTACTCTCTGGTAGATCACCCGAGAGAGCGCTCTGAAGTTCTTGCGTGATATTCGTCTGGGAATTGAGTTTTTGCAGCGTTCCTATGCCAATCGTATTTTCCCCGAGGAGTTGCGTCAGAATCATCTAAAGCGCAACACTGCACCCAGCACTAGCACCAGCACCAGCACAACATCCACAACAACCACAACAACCAGCACCACGACAGAGAAACCATTCATCCACATGGAATCCGATCTAGAAGGAGTCACGCCTGAGGTGGGACACGCCAAGATCCTGGACAGCTTCAAATTCTGGAACAAGCTCAAGACGCTCGAGAATGAAACTCCCCAAGGCATGTTATACTAAAAGTTAATAGTTACTAAGTATATTAATTAAAGAGCATTTTGCACTTGAATTCAGAGAAGCAAAGTCAAATTGCAAACGGAATATTACAAAGTTATAGACATTAAAATTAATTATAACTTTACCTATATATATATATATATGTACCTATAATCCTATGCAGATCTAACGGACTATGATGAAACCATGGGGCGAGCCAAGATAGTTGAGTATCTATACAATGAGTACAGCTTAGAGGAAATTCTCTACAAGTTGGCCAAGGTAAGTGGAACATAAGTTTCAGATAATATTAATAGTAATATTAATGATGTATTGTATCCACCAGGTAATGTTCGCACAGTCCCTGGCACATGGTTCGGATGAGGCTCAGCAGGAGCTGCAGAAGCTAACCGAATTCCTGGAGCATGAGGGCAATTTGGGTGTTATACCCGTCGATTTGCAGAAGAAAGTTTTGCGTAAGTAATTAACAAATTGTATATATCTCGAGATATATGTGAGATATATGTATATATTCTAGGGGTGTTGCATCCTGCGCTGTCGGATACTTTAACCGAACATCCCGAGCTATTGCCAGCGGCGCGTGTTAACTTGGCCAATCCATTTTTCAGGCTTCCAATGCATACTCCCAGCGCTGTGTAGATTGCAAACGTTATCAGCAAGTCTATATATATATATATAAATATATATATATATATATATATACATTAATTATCTATATTAAATAATTACTAAGTTATTGGCATATACATAAAAAAAAAAACTAATAACAGATCATATATATATATATATTATATTCTGTTCAAGTTGATTGCCATATATAAATGCGCTCTCTCGGAATTGCATACTGGTTACCTATGCCTTGGGTAGTTCTAAATTTTCGTTCTATATACGTAAAGAAATATCAAAAAAATTGATTTTAATTTAGTTTAGTATTGATTGTAACATACATGGAAAAAAAAACTCTCGTGATATTTTTGGCAGGCTAGAAAAGTACGGGGAAATCAGTTAGAGGAATCAAAGTTGTTTATATTTAATCATTATACGACAACCCTTCGACAAGAAGATGTGGAGCAAAATCAACCAAGCAAATGAGAGACTTGCGCTATATGGAGCTTTTAAAACTATATATGTATGTATCTATATGTATTTGTAGAGAAAATGATTGGAATGCTTGCTTATATTTGATATGAGTTAGTTGACAACTGACAATTGATGAGGTTGAAGTTAATAATATTATTTATAAAAAAAAAGAAAACATACATCCCTACTACATATGAGAATACTATATATATGTACTACGTATGGTCAATATAAAGGCATATATAGGTATATCTATATAATGAGTATAAAGGCATCGTTTTCCGCACCGTTTAATAATTAAAATCAGTGAAAGCAGGAAAGGACTTTAAGTCCGCATATATCAGTAGCACATAGAACTGCTTATCCAATATGAATATATATTATATATATTTTTTCTTATCGTAAGCCTTTACATACACACACATATATACATACATACTGAAGTACATACCCTACTGAATAAATACATAGCTAACAAATCGCTTGATACTTACATACATAAAATATTGATTGAGTGTTCGATTAAATTGTTTGTTCGCCAATTACGTGTACTGTATAATTAAACAATTATTGTTTCAACATACATAATAATATATATAAATATATATATATATATATATACTCTATATTGTTTAAAAACAAACCGAATAATTTGATTAATCCTTACGTAGTTTACAATTTATGCTAAGCTTAGAAAGTGCTTTTTCACATCTACAGCTCCTTCTTGGTCTGCTCCGGTTCATCGGTCTTGGAGCCATCTAGCAACTTGGTGATTTGCTGCTCTGTGAGTGGCTCTTTACTGTTGAAGATCTTTTCGATCTCGGCTCGCTCTTCCGGATCCATGTCTTTACCATATTGTCTGGCAAGTGCCTCCAGACGCTCTTGATTCTGCTTGAGACGATTGGGCAGCCAAAATATAGTTTGCACCATTCTAAAGGGGCGATTTCAAGGTTGGATTAAATGGATATGCCTTTTGATCGGTGAAACCCACCTGAGGAATATGTAGCCCGAGATGACCAACAATAAACACAATGCCGACGTCTTCAACATGGCCCAATAATCAACAACAACTTGTTCATGCTTCATTTTTACAACGGATTTGATTATCGGATCTGTTCCACTCGACTCCAAAGTATGCCACATACTATACTCATATGTGTCATATTCTGAATTGTTAACAAGGAATTGTCAATGTTGTGGTCGAAACGATTCACGTCGTCATGGATATATTGGACATAAGTATCTGACCCGACAATCAATAATAATTAAATTCTCTTTGCCTACGTGGCATTTTCGAATGGATGCGTTGACTTAGACCGAACCATAGAACTGACCCATAGAATGGAAACAATAATCAATAGCTTGTTTTAATATTTTCTGTGGTGTAATGATTATTTTTAATTTAGACAAATATTATTGCGATCGCGCGATCACACTTATCGGCCATTTATTTATAGCTATAAAAACAAATGAAAAACTCGTAAAAAAGAAACAATAAATAAAATATGAATAAAGTAGGACGATAAAGGCAGACATGTGCCCCAGTATCAGGAGAAGCGTGCAATTGTAAATTAGAAATTAGTGAAAAGAAACTCATGATACTGATTAGGTGCAATTTAACTCGCCGGGTGGGCGAATCGCAAGTGTCAGTCTCTTCGAGCAGAACCCAATATTATCGCCAGATAGTAGATTGTACAATCTGAGATGTTGTAGTGCAGATAAAAGATACCCTGCCACTATATAAGACAGTGTTCTTTGCTGGCTTACGCATAACGGCTAAATCATGAAGACACTTTTGATCTGTGCGTCCATTTTGTTGGGCATTCTGGGGCTGGCCACAGCTGGCAAGAGACCCATCTCCGATTGCGTAAGCTTCTGACATAGTTCTACAAATAAATACATATATGTATAGCTTAAAATTCGACTGTGCAGGGTGACCGCATTCTGGATGATGGCTATCCAATGGAGCGTCACAAGGTGACCACCGAAGACAACTATATCCTGACCATGCATCGCATCCCCTATTCCCCCAAGACGGGCAACACGGGCAAACGTCCCGTGGCGTTCCTCATGCACGGCATGTTGAGCTCCAGTTCCGATTGGGTGCTCATGGGTCCAGGTAAGGCGCTGGCCTATCTTCTGTCCGATGCCGGCTACGATGTGTGGATGGGCAATGCCCGTGGCAACACCTACTCAAAGGCACACAAAGTCTGGCCAACTTTCTGGCAGATCTTCTGGAACTTCAGCTGGAACGAGATCGGCATGTACGATGTACCCGCTATGATTGATTATGCTCTAGAAATGACTGGCGAGAAACAGGTGCAGTATGTGGGTCATTCCCAAGGCACCACCGTCTACCTGGTCATGATGTCCGAGAAGCCCTCTTACAACGACAAGATCAAGTCCGCCCATCTGCTTGGCCCTGCTGCCTACATGGAGAACATGAAGAGCCCCATGACCCGAGCCTTTGCTCCGATCATGGGCCAGCCCAATGCCATGGTCGAGCTCTGCGGCTCCATGGAGTTCATGCCGAGCAATAAGTTCAAGCAAGACCTCGGCATTGCGCAGTGCCAGGCAACCTCGCCCTATGCCGAGATGTGCGCCAACGAGATCTTCCTCATTGGTGGCTACGATTCCGAGCAGCTGGACTATGTATGTGGAATGAACCCTTAAATAATCTCTTAATATTAATATTATATATTGTTGTCTCTTTATTGCTACAGGAGCTGCTGGAGCACATTAAGGCCACGTCGCCAGCAGGCGCTTCGGTTAATCAGAATCTGCATTTCTGCCAGGAATTCAATTCGGGCAAATTCCGCAAGTTTGACTATTCGGTGGTGCGCAATCCGTTAGAGTACGGCAGCTATTTCCCGCCAGACTATAAACTAAAGAACGCCAAGGCTCCGGTCCTACTGTATTATGGTGCCAACGATTGGATGTGTGATGTGGGCGATGTTCGTAGGCTGCGCGATTCGCTGCCCAATATGGCTCTGGATTACCTTGTGCCCTTCCCGAAATGGGCTCATTTGGATTTCATTTGGGGCACCGAGGCCAAGAAATACGTATACGATGAGATTTTGAAGCAAATGTCAAACTATGAATAGGTTATTCATATATATTTATAGTTTGGTTGCATAATAAACTGAACACCTTACTGGGAGTAATAATTTACTCCACTTGCAACTCGGCCATGTACATTATCTTGATCTCGTCATCTTTGAGTACTTGACCGTTCAGTAGATAGAAGCCGGGCGTAAGGAGCTTCTTGAGCATCGATGCATTTAATGGATAGTCCTTGATCTGTAATTCCGTCGGTGCCAGGGGGCAGTTGTCGGGATGGGGAGCATTGGAATAGTCCTTTAAAGTGTCATAGAAAAATCGCCTATAATATGTGTCCATCAACTCGCATGCGCCCATAATGGGCACATCCTTAAACATGGAATAGTCCTTCTCGCTGCTATCCTTGCGAAGCACTGTAATATTAACCTGCAATGAATTATATATATAAATATTATTTCGTATTAAAATATAAACATAAAAATATACTTAAAATATGTATAAACATCGGTGTATAAAGCATGTTTAATTGTATTGTGTTGCAATGTTTATTGTTGAGGCAGTATTATTTTTATTTTTTGCCCTATTTGTTCCTTTTAGGAAACAAAAATTAATTTATTAATATAGTTTATTATTATTTGGAAAGATTTTTATTATTATTAAAAATGCATTCTAATTAGGAACATTTATATAAAACTTGCAAAATGTTTGATTCTGAAATAAAAATATTTTTTATGATGAAAATGTTCAATGATTTTTATTCACATTTTTCTTGTCTTATCTTCTTTTCTGTCTATTCCCCCAACTATCTCCCTCGGCGGGAAAAAAATCATTATTCGGTTAGACCCCATTTACCATATTCGATGGAAAATAATTTAGGTTACAATTCCGATTCTGGTAAGCAAAATGTATAAAAATTCAAACTTCGTTTTAAACGATATGCTAGGGGTACGTCACCGATACGTAGTTATAAATAAAATAATTGAGAAAATACTCTGATACCAGTGTAATACCAGCTGATAAATGGTGCAAAGGTGCCTTCTTTGATTGGTGCAAAAGTATTATCAACACCGCACATATATATTATAAAGTTCGATCGATATTTTAAATTTATAATGAAATTGAGGCGTCTGAAGATGCACTGATATCTGCAAAGATATGTTATCTTCTGCGTGCCTAGACTATCCGATATTTCCTGTTATTGCCTGAACCGATTAAAAGTAGAGTTGTGCAGAAGTATGTAAAAGGCAGAAGAAAGCATCTTCTTTGCATCTTCTTTGCGGCACAAATAATATTTTAAAACAATGTTTAATTTAGGCTCTGATTCCGGGTTTCAATGCGGGTCCGATTGGGCTTCCGAATTCGATTTGACATCCTGATTAAAACATATTTATATGCAAGGGGCTTTCACAATTCTGAGCTGAGCTTATCCAAAAGATTTTATACTTCAAACTCTTTTATATATGTATATATAGAACTCACCTTCCATTCGTTATCGATGGTCAAAAGGGTTTTCAGCTCGCCGCTGATTGTGCGATGATCCTCAGCATCTGGCTCACTGATCGACAAGCTGCTCTGGATAGCTTTTTCGTCCTGCTGAATCTTTTCGAACTTGCGCAGCTTCAGAACTCGCTCGTCTCCACCCTGAACTTGGATAACGCTGGCGCTGAGGAGCACAACGCTGAGGGCCACGCCCAGATATATATTGTAGGCGCACATCTCAAAATAAACTGATGTACCGAGCTGAACCAGCAGCTTTATATAAAACGGGCATTAATTGCGCATACGCCATGCAAGCCAGTGATCTGAATTGTCGGAGCGGAAGTTGAATATGTTCTTTTGGCCCCAGTAATATTATACGAACGGAAGTGGGATTTGTCCGTTTTAATCTAGCTTAGAGGATCTACAATAAAATTGCTTATTTAATTTATACGGAAGCAACAATTAGCATTTAATGTTCTTAGTTGATATTTCGATACAATTTGGATAACATTTTGTTAAATCTATAAAATGATTGCGGAACCAGCATTGAAAATTGGTAATTTATATACAAAAACAATTGTCGTTAACAATTATTGGCCATGTCTTAAATTAAATCTTGTAGCCTAGTTCAATAGTAAGTATTTTGCGGCTGGAATGTTATCACTACTCTCTTAACCAAGTTTAGCCGTGTTTTGACTGCCCTTCACATAGCCAAAGTTTAATCGCAACTGCTCCAGGAACATAAATGTCAGTATAGTTTGAGGCCCAAGCCGGACAAATGCCGGCACATAGCCCTTAAAGAAGCCGAGTGGACCCAGCTTCGCTGTATGCCGTACAACATCCCACAGATTCTTGTACTCTCCCGGTTTGGCATTCATGGTGCGCGTCTTGAGCACATCCATCGGTTGGGTTAACGTTGTCGCGATGGCGCCAGCCATTAGCGAGGCGGAGAAATGCGTTACTAGATTATCCTTAAAGTAGGGTGTCGACAGCAACATACTCTTGATCTGATCGTAGAATGCAATCTGGCCAATGGTCATGAAGACACCGCGTGCCGTTGCTGTTGTGCCGCCTGAGAAGAGTTTCTTGAAGCCCTCCTTTTGATACACCTTGATGAGCCCATCGATGGCGTGCTTGTAACTGTGTGGATCATAAAAGATGATTAGCATCATCAAATTGGAATGGACTCAATGATTAACTTACTTTCTGCGTTGCTCTGGCGACAGTTTGACATCGTTTTGCATGCGCACGTTTATCATGTCGGCGGGTGTGCCGAAAATGCCACCAATCATGCCTGATAGGCCTGCCAAGGTAATTTTACCCGTGAACGTGTCCGTACTGATGTGATCCTTGCCCACCTCATAGGCGCCAAATCTTGTCGTGGAATATGTCATCTGGCGCAGCACTGAGGCGGACAGACCATTGTAGAAGGCAAGGACACCTTGCTCCTTGACAATTTTCGATATTAGATTAACCACAGAGAGATTTCCTTGTTGCGTTTGCAGCGTGACCTTGAGCAGATCCAAAGGATGTGTGGTGCATGCGGCGCCCACGCTGGCGATGCCACCAAAATACCAATGCGCTTGTTTCTGTGTGGACATTGTTGCTGGGGTGAAGCTAGCGCACGACTGTTAACCGAAAGATATTATTTAGATGAGCCATGGCCATAACGAATGAAGCATTTTCCTAATTATGACGCGAATTTTTAATATATATACATATATATTCGTATATATGAATTCCGAATTTAAATATTACGCCATTATGTTATGGATTAAGGAAAGGTTGCGGCAAGGTTACATCACCATCGATGTCCGCGGTAATTTGGTAAAAGCTAAGGATAATAAAATAAATCAGCTGTTCTGTTACGCAGTCAGTTTGCGTTAATGGGCGCGTTTCAAACAAACACGCGTTGCTCAACACGAATTTTATTTCGTATGCTGCCGTATCAATGAAAAGAGTTTAAAATATTACTAACTGCTGTCAGGTGGCAGCACTGCCCGAACAGCTGCTCGCAACGAATGTGAATTTCGTGTGTGTGTTTCACTATTTTTTTTGTGTCAAATTACAAAGTTATCGTCTTTTTACACAAAAATATAAAACAAAAACAACAACGCGCTGTTCTATGTGAAATTTGATGTGAGTACATTGTACAAATTGTAGCTGTTTATTGTTTACACGGCGAGCTCATTAAGCGCGTCAGCCGACTTGCAAATTTTGCAACAAAATTTACTCGTTTTCAATTTGCGCTTCGTGTTACGCATAAGAAGACTGCAATTTTATTATGTGCCGCATTTCGTCGACACTTAAGCAACACGTGGTCGAATAACTATTTGTTTTTTTATTTTGCGTTTTTGAATTAATTTGGAAATAGCTTTGCTTTGATTTTAATTGCTGATAAGCGAGTTGCGCATGTGTGTGTGTGTGTATGAATACTAAATCGTGCTTTTCACATCCGTTTAATAAAACTAAATCACAAGTGCAAAGTTTAAGCTTTTGCATATTAACCACATATTTGAATCAGCAATGGGTTCTTCTGTTATCTTTGGCGAACCGATTGGTAAACATCCTTTACGCTTTTCGTTTCGTCATCAGCACACAAAATATTTTGACCGCTTGGAGATAATCGACTTTCATTTTTTTAGCCCACTCGCATAGCGATAACAAATTTAATAATTCCAAATCGCTATCTATATTTATATACATTTAAACAAGTACAGTGAATACGCCTAAATTATAAAATGTTCTAGTTACAGAAAGTAAGAGCTAAGAAAGACTGATTGTTCTTATAAAAAACTCTCTGATTTATTTGACCGTTGTGAATGATATTCTTTGTTTTCAAATGAAAATGGCATATTCACATTCATAGTCAGTGAGTGTAATCCGGATATCTTAACTAAAAAAAAAATACTTGGATTTAATCTAATAAAATGGTTGTAGTTATGCTTTCCGATTTATCACTGTACTTATTTAGCACTGTTGTCAATGCTTGCCATATATATTTATGGCTTTAGTTTATTTATTTATAACAGATTTCGTGTGAAGCAGGCCACGTGTATGAAATGGCCAATAAATCAGTTCCATCGCTTTAGCAGTTGTTTTGCCCAAACAAAAATTCGAAAGATTCTTGCTGACAAACAATATCTGTTGTTCGTTCGTTTGCCCTTCATTCTATGTTGATAACAATTTGTAATTAGTGCCTATTAATAAACGTAGAGAAAATATATCACCAAATATGTACTTTGCGTGTTAACAACTATCAATTTATTACATTTAACAGCATTGAGGCTGATTAGGCCAACTGTCGGCAACTCTCTTTCGCACTGTTGTTGTTAGTTTTTTGCCTTGCATTTTATCTGGTCATAAAATAGAATTCTTGCGGTTCAAAGTCTGCTAATAAACTCGTATGGATGTACATATAAAAACAAAAACCATCACATGATCCATAAAAAAATATATGCTTATATGCATTATGTATGTAGTCGTCTAAAAAATAGTCGCGCCCCCAGACAAATCCATATATACTTTGATAAACAGCTGATTTGCGCCCCGGTCACCTTTTTTTATAGGCGAAGATCACGAAACGTTGCGTGATAATTCCATGATTCCATTGCTTCCAGTACTACTGTCAGACTGATCTGATGCGTGTTAATATTGGCAAGTTATGTTCGCAGTGTGAAAAGCTTAATTGAAATTATGCACACATATGCAGTTACATATATGTGAATGAATGTAAATTACAGTAAATTGATGCATTTCCTAAATGACACACACAAACGCATACACACACACACACACACAGAGGCACACGCATCTAATTGAAACTTTACCTTGAAAATGACAAAAGAGATGTTGTCGTGTGCCGTTTTTGTTTTTGTATTTATTTAGCTTTTACAACTATGCTATGAAATATTTTTAATAAGTTCTACACAGATGTATTTTTGGCAACACCAATACACATAGACAACGCACGCGCGAGAGCATGAACTTCAGCTCTTCATTACCACAACAGAAACAAAACAAAACAAAACACAACACAACTGAACTCAACTCACGGCAACTGAACTCAAACTGGTCTGGTATTAATGTGGATTTCTTACTCTCTTGTTTGCTGGAGGGAGGCGGCACGGCACACGACGTTGTCGGCTGAGCACAAAAAGCGTACTGATCGTCGTCGTTGGCAGCAGCGTCGTGCTTATGCAGTTGCGAGAGCGAACAAAGCTTCGGGCCAGCAATTGCCGGCCTGCTGCTATAACTGGCGCTCATAACTGCTGGTGCTCTCCCCAAGCGTTGTCAGCTCGGCAAATTGTTTGGGTTTGGATTATGTGTTATCGCCTCCACTACTGAGTGACAGCGCGGTCAACGCAAATGTTCCCAGAAGTGTGGCGGGATCGGCTTAAGTTAGTCAGTTGTCAAAAGCTGCTTCTGCAGTCACAGTTGAAATTCACGAGCATTAGTCAGTGAGAGCGGAAAGTGAGAGCGAGACACAGAGAGTGAGTGAATAAGCATAAATTGGTGAGAGAATTGTTTTTATTATAACCTTTGATATGGCTCTCACACTTGAATTGTTTGTTTTTCATTTTCTATATTTTTTTCTTTTTGTTGTTCTGTGTGTATTTTCTGTTCTAAAATCATGAAGTATTCCAGATCATTACTAAACGCTGTTTTATGGTTTTTGTGCACCCGACAAGCTCCGCACACCAATTCAGTGTTTACAGACGTATGTTTTTTTGTGTTCTTATGTGTGATAAAAGTTTTCATATCTTTAAAATCGTTCGTGGCTGACCGTTTATTATCACTCGTACATTTTTTGTATTTATGATAATACCCTGTTTACATTCACGCAAGTGCTATGGCGGGTATATACAGATTGTAAATTTATGTAAATGTAAAAATTGTAGTTTTTCAGCAATAAATATAAAAAATGGACAAATAGAAGCCACTCGCAGATATATTTTTAAATCAAAAAGTGTATTTTTTGTCGCATCATCATCAATTAAAAATTTGCTAATGCTGTATATATATGATGAGTAAAATGTATATATACATATATTTTTTAATTAAACACTTTGTATGATGCATAATTAACAAAATGTATTCAGGGTTTTATCTGTTAGAGCATCATCAACTAAAGAATGCTCCGTTGTTTTTTCCTGCTCTTATTGAAATTATGTATTCGAAAATGCCCTTTATATAATTGTCAGAATGACCAGCGTCGATCAGCCATTTGACAGCCAAAAATAAATCCAAGATATTATTGATCAACGGTCAGGCGCCAGTTTGAATAATCATCATGTGAAAATGAGTTCATTTCGTTTTCTGCAATAAGCGTTAATTATTATGCTCACAATTAAAAGTAGTCTTATTTGGTAGCAATTCACATTGCGCGAGTCAAGGTTCAATTAGAGCGTTTTTAGCTTTACTCATTGGCAATTAGCTAGCAACAAGCACAAAATATACATTAGATTTTACCACTTGATTACCAAATAACAAAGTATTGCATTTGAAGAGAACTGCTGTTGTCAAGTAGAGCTACGCGTGGCGAACCAACTCAAATATAGCTGAGCGCATTGATAACTGTTAATTTACTCAGCTATTAAAATGTATTTATTATTTGCACACTTATAGAACAGATGAAAGCGCGTTTTAAATATCTATTTGTAAATTGATTAGCTGTTGAATTCTATGTTTGGCTACAGTTGAGAAATCCACTGTGTACAAAATATTTACACATGTGATTATTCAAAACACACGCTAAAAGCTTTATCGAAAGCTTTGGTCACGTCTTAAAAGCTTTGCAGTTGAAATATGTTTTTGACGAGGCGACGTTCAATGGCCCATTAGCTCAGCTGGTTAGAGCGTCGTGCTAATAACGCGAAGGCCGCGGGTTCGATCCCCCCATGGGCCAATACATCCTTTTTTTTTTCATTTATTATTGTTTTGCTTGTTTATTTTTTATAAATTATTTGGAGTGCTTTATTGCCATTGATTGCTGTTGTGGGTTATTGGCCACGTGTGTCGCTGACAGCGATGATGAAGTGACAAAATAGAAATACGACGCTCAAGTAAATAAATTAAAAAGAGACGTCTGAAAGTCTGCCTCCACTTGGAGCACGATGAGGCGTGAGGCACGTGATTTGCCCTTGCCTGTCAGGCGTGCTTCTAATTAATTGTATACATTGTATGGCATTTATAAATTGACTAAGCATATCACACTTCACTTATTTTTTAATGCAACTTTCTTTGTTCGCAGCTTCTGCCACACAATTGCACACAATTTTTCAAAATTATGGCCGCCTCAGTGCTGATCGCGTGCGGACTGAATGAACAGAAACTGCCCGGATTCGTGCACATCAGCGAGGAGTCAAATGTCGATGGCAGCTTTCTGATTAGCTGCATCCTCGGTCAGCGGCTCCGCATCTCGAATGCTGGCACCCTGCTCGTCTGCCTGCAGCATCATTATCAGCATTACTTCAATGCGGGCATGCGTCTCGGCTACAATTCGAACATCTTTCTGGGCAAGACCCTTAACGTTATCGATGTGCTCAGCGACATGGCGCGCCAGGGCCTCAACTCGAAGTGGTTGCGTTCACCAAATGGCCTGACTTTGACCGAGCAGCTCGCCGAGGATATACGCGCTCAGTTAGCCAACAACTATGCAAATCGGAGCAGCTACACTATACTGATTGACAATCTATCAATATTATTCAATTTGGGTGCCAGCAAATTGCAGGTGCAACAATTCTGCCAGGCCCTCGCCGATCTGGCCAAAGAGCACGAGAATCTGACGGTCATCACCAAGCTGAGCAACAGCGACATCCACCAGCTGACGGACAATAATGTTGCCAAATTGGGTCATGTACGCATCCAGGTGCTGCGACTGAAGAGCGGCGTCTTTCGTGAGGTCGATGGCAAGCTGCTAATTGAGCGTGTCCTCGACGAGGGCAGATATGCCTGCGAGGAGTCACGCAAGGAGGTTCTCTACAAAGTCAACGATCGCAATGTCAAGATATTCAATCCAGGCGAAATCGGTGTCAAAGTTTAACACACATACTATAATTTTATATGGAATTTATTAAAGCCATTTTGATATACAATTGCATATATTCGGTAGACTTTACTTTCCATCGGCCTATTGCGCATTTCACTTTTAAGTCTTTGCCGTCGCTGGTTGTTGTCCGCTCTGCTTGTTGTCTGGTCTATTGAATGTCATGTGCCAAGAACAACATCTGGCGCCGTTTGCCATATTATTCGGCCTCATTCTAATTGTGATATCTCATCTGTTGACGTCACGTCAGCTGGCCGACGCATTGATGAACAAATAATGATGAATTAATGTCTGGGCCCTGACTTTGCGCCAGTCCATCTCTGTCCGGCAAAGTAAACGAATACATCGAGCTGAGTTCAAATATGCTGTCTATGAACGCGACGGTCACATTACATAAAGGACAATTTTTAAAACAGAAAAAAAAAAATTTCATATTCAAATTGGATGAAATTTGCCTCTGGTCGGTGAAAACGAAAAATTTCCAATATGCAAAAACTTAATTTTTGTTGTGGAAATTCAAGCTTTTCTCACATTCAATAAACCGCTTATAAAAAATATGCTTTCCTTTTTATAGTATCCGACTTCTTTGTTTGTTTTTTTTTTTTATTTTGGTTCAATATTTGTAATCTTAATATTTTCAAGTGAACAGACGATATTTTGCATTTGTATTTCTACATGCCCCCAGGCGAGGTTGTCTTAAGCAAGACCCTGCCAACATTCTAATTAATTGCATAAATGAGTATTGTTCCAAAGACCGCCCAACTGGTTAAATTCAAAGTCAAAGGACACGTTCCTCCACCCTGGCGTAACTATTTGTACGTAATCAGAAAATATGCTTAAAGCGTGGCAAAAACGTGCTTCAATTTGAGAAAGGAGAAAAATGGTTGGCTAACCAAACGGAAGTTAGCTATTTAGCCAGTTATATTGTCTTTCGGGGGCGATTCGTTATGCATTGGCAATAAATTCTTTGGATTAGACGAATCGCACGTGGATTAGTCAAAAAAAATTGGATCAGTCAGCACACGAGGCCCCACAATTTGTGTGTGGGCCGACTAGCCGAGATAATGACAGCAATGCCTACAATTTAATGTGCGTGTGAGCAATTTTGTTTCATACTTTTGGGCCGAGCATCCTGTAAAATGTTTACGCCGACGCCGGCATATGCACCACACACGCAGACTGCGACAATGGCTTCATTATCCAACAAAAAAAAAGAAGAAAGAATAAAAGATGGAAAAATGTTGTGAGAGTGAGCTCGACTACGAGATGCTTTAAAAAGCCTATTACACTCAAATGTAAGCAACTGCTCTCATTCCGTATGGTCGGCATGAGTACTGAAAGGCGATTAAAAAGGAAGGCAACGCATGGAACCGATTCTGAATTCATCGGCTTACGACAAATGCTTTGAATGTAATGAGATCAATATAAGTTGCTTCTAATACGAATTTATACTTTATTTTTACAGCTGATCAATAATAAGTCAGTATGATATATATAATTTAGAAGCCATTACCTTTTAAACTGTCGCTTCAAATGCTATCGGTAATCGATTTGTATCGATATTCGCGAAACGTGTGCGGGGATCTATTAGAACTTATATACCAAATTTTCTCCATCGGTTACAGATGCGCGATTTCATAGAAACGGAGATGGCTATATCGACTCTATTGTTGATATACCTTGTGGGGTCCGAGATGCTTCCTTCTGTCTGTTAGATACTTTTGCATAAAACCATTCCATTCTTTTTAGACACTTTAAATGGGTCCATGATATAATAAAATGAACAACTGGCGTACGCCAAAAATGTATTCGCATATGTAGGCTGAGAATGGAAGCGACTCTCATAAACTTGATTCGCCTGGCCATCCTTTCATCAGCGATAATAACGGCATATTAGTGCCGGCCAGGCTCAATATATTTTTGTAGGCAACGCGAACAATGGCCAAATAAACGAAGCACTTCAGCAAACACCCACCGCACACATGGATGCTGATGGTCATATTTTCAATTTTTTGTAAAGATTTCGATTTTATTTTTAGTTTTTATAGTCATTGTGTCACCCATGTTGGCATTAATCTCGTTTATAATTTTTTTCTGTTACACGTGGCGTATGCATAATATTTATTTAACAGCCACGATTTTCGCCTTGAAATCTGTACAGCTAAAGGGTTTTTGCTTTAGATTCTCTTTTGGAGCGTTTATTTATTTGATTTGCCAGCAGAGGAAGTCCTTAAGCTTAAACGGGTTTGGCTTTCGCTTAAGTGAGTTGAAAACAGCAAAAACTTTGCTCAAGCCGTAAACAACTTTGAAGTTGCCGCAAATGACAAGCACAGTAGTACTTAAACAACACAAATTTTATGCATATCCTAGAAAGAACATAACTTGGTGCTGCCAAATACTCAAGAAGGTATATACGTATGTGGGCTTATATTGGTTGTACGTGCTTTTTTGTCTCACAGTAGATGATTCATGTTAAATTCTGTGTTTAGCTCAAAAGTGCTTTAAAGCGCTTTATTTTTATATCAAATGCAATTTAAGCCTTAAGCGTAACGTTTCTGCCTAGCAGGCGATGAATATTCGAGGAAGTACAAAGCACAGGACTGAATATAACTGGAGAAACGCCCAAGTGACAGGACAAATAAAGTTGTATCTCTGTGGCAAAGGCAATGCAAGAAAATTGAAAAAAAAACAATTTCTGATAAATGAAATTGTGGGTGACAGTATGGAAAGTCGTTTAAAAAAAATAATGCTGATGCTTTTAGTTTTCGTATTTATCGTATTTGGTCATCTTGCGGTGTTCACATTTATTTATGGCAAGCTGTGTAAACTTCAACATTCCTAAGCTTTCATTAAATTGTTGACTTGAATTCAGCAGAGAAGGGCGCGCACCAAGACACAGATAGGAAAGTTGCAAAACTAAACATGACGATTTCATTTTGGTTGATAAAGTGAATACCTAAATTGACAAAAACGAAGTAGAACTAAAAAAAAATGAAATAAAATGTAAAAGTTTCGAGTGCCCGACTAGAACGCCGCTTATAATCTGGCGTTAATAATTTTATTTTATTGTATTTATCTAACAAGAGTCAAGCAGCTCTTAAAAGCTACGATATGAATTTGAAATTCGTTGTGGAAATTGTTAATAACTTGATGGAATTTTGTATATGGCTTGGCGACTTCTACACTCGTACAAAAATCGTTGGGAAAACTAGAAAATGCTTCTCGTGTTTAAAAACCGAAAAATATTGATTAAATGCTAAAGGCTTCTTTAATTTTTCCAGAAATGTATTTGATAATTTTATATGAATTCAAGAAAAAAGTCCTTTCAGAAATTCAAAAAATAGTTGTGAAATTTTTTTCTAATTACCTTTCCTGTTGCCAAAATCACAATTTTCAGCAGAAAGTGCAATTATCATATCAACTCTCTCTTTGACAAATTTGAGCTGAACATTTTGTTTCCTTGTATTCTTTTGCTGTGGTTTCCGGCCAATTTAGGAAACAGTTTTGCTAACGAATTTTGCCATTATGCATAGAATGGCTGCACTTTGTTGCGCAAATATTTCGTGTTAAATGAAAATTTAATTTACTTTGTCTCTGTCAATACACCACAGAAAGTCGATTTGTTCAAAATTTGATTTCATGAAGCTTTCAAATGCCGCAATCGCATTGCTCCGACGTTTGTGCTGCAAAATGAGCTGTTTGATAAAACCGCAGCTGATTAACTCTGCGCAGCATTCAAAGTGATTACCTTGCGTATACGCAACATTTGACATTAAACCGCCTGACGGTTGATGGTTTTCCAATTCAAAGGCGCCAACCTTGAAGCGGCTCATTGCCATAATTCAGCTTGCCGAGTTGTGCAAGAGTTGGCGCAAAGTGCCACCTCAAATTTCTGAGTTGCGACAACGGTTTAATAACGCAATGTGGGAGTTATTTTATTTATTTTTATTTTTTTTGGGTATTTGGTTAGAAACTCGTTCGCGTTAAGCCATGCTGCTGTTTGACACCTACGTACACGGGCCTGTAAATGAATTTACGACTTAATGGTGTCACAATCTTTACAAGTTTTGCCAAGCTTAAAGGATAACCCCATTTGTTGGTTGTTCCTAGAGTGCCAATCAAATGGAACCCATAAAAAGAAAGCAATATCGTTGCGTTTATGTCATTTGTTGTGGCTTGCTTGTAGAAAATTGCATTAGAATGTTGCTTACCATGTTTTGCTTTATTTGTTTCATTACTGGTTCTTTTTTACTTGTCCTCGTCGCCTGATTATTGTACGCATTCGCAGAAGGTAAAGGGCAAGTGGCAAGTGGCATGTGGCATGTGACATCCATGGCAACAGGGTAGCAGAATACGATGCCATTGTATTAGCGTTCGCATCTACATCATTGAAATGTATAACATCAACACGGCCAGGAATGGATCGTTTTGCTATTCGCGTGTGTGCATCACATTATCGACCGTGGCCCTGGGTGGCATCAAGTGGCGGCATATGAAATACGAACATGAAAGTGAACTAAAATAATGAAAAGCCATTTATGAAAATATGCGGAAGAGCAGACGTTAAGTTTAAGTACTAAGATGCCTGTCAAAGAACGGACAATTTGTTGGACGTTTATTAATTTTGGAATGTAAAGTTACTCAATTCTCAAATCATATCGTCAGTTGCTTATACTATTTTTAGTCAAAACTTTGATCTTTTTTATACACTCAACCATTTAAAAATAGGTAAGAAGGTGATTATGGTTTTGAGCAGACTTAACAGATAGAATGAAGTTTCTTTGATCCCATAAAGTATGATTATTCTTGATCAGCATCAAAAGCTAAGTATATCTAACCATCTGTCCGCTCGTCTGTATGGACATACGAATCTTATGGACGATTAGAACTAAAGACTTTAAATAAGGAATATAAGTTTAAGTTCATTCCTAATCGATGTTCCCTCTCCTTATTACTATGCTAATAACGTTAACAATTTTTGGTCTGCTTGTGCTTGTTCTGGGCTTTCCCAGATTTTGCAATAAATATTGAAATATTTTATATTAAAATACGCC